ATGTGTTCCTTATATGTTTGTATTGCCTGTACGCGCCGTAGTTATCCGTTCGTTTATATTCAGCCCAACAATGCCTTTTGCGGCTTAACAAACGACGAGTGCGGTTCTTGATGATTGCAGGTTGCTTGTAGCTTTTTAGGACCATTTTAGGAACTGAATGCTCAGTAGCACATAAAATCGTGTGCAGTAAAAAATCCCAATGATGAAGGTATTGTCACACTCCAAATACTTGTGGCATATTCAAGTGAATAAGCCCTACCAGTAGATACTCCGAAGAGTAAGCTGGGTATTTACCGGTAAAAAAGCTGAAAGGAATAACAAAGCTCAAGCGATCTACTTTTCTTACTACTAAAGACTGCAATGCACTACATATTTCTTTACAAAACACTCTCCCGAAGGATGTTGAGTGTCGGAAATGTTTAACCACAATGTCACTGCTGGGGTATTTGGTTATAAACAAAGTCCGGGCCACTTTGTTGAAACAAAAATCGAATCATTGGTGTTTTCACTGCTTATTTGTTCATGTTTAATGATTTTCGCTACATGATTCTTAAGATTACACGCAACTCATACCCTTTAAACTAGCGCGCTGTTTACATTTTCAAACCGTGTTATCGTGAGTTGCTTTTATTAACTTCGATTGTATAGTTCTTATCAGTTTATTGCTTAAACGGAATGCCTCTTTTAAAGGCTGATGACTATAATCCTAAATTTATGACGTGCTTTGTAGCCGTAATCGTGAACTTGGGCTCTCTGCACTAGAATATATGCACATATCTCAGCATCTTAAGATGTTTTCACTTACTTACCAATTTATAATCCTAATTATAACTGTATTGTACTACATTTGGGCAAGTGAACGAATAAGGACCATATTTTTACAAGTGTTAATGGTACTAGACTTTTCTAATATGGTCTCATACGTATGTTGTACAACATAACATTGTTTTCTTTTCAGTAAATTTCTTTAGACAGGCACCGTTTTTAATGTGAGCTGTCGTTTGGTGTGTTTTAGAAATAAAGCTGAAAACATGGGACGCTTGGGGTTAAAAATTGAAGCAAAATTGGGTAAATCGGCGTGTATTTAGGTGAATAGTATTCAATTCAGCGACATCTTAAACGCAAACGACATATAGGGGGAAATCCGCATTATTCTCCCTGGCAGGCGGAAAAGCGGATATTTAGGCGCGTTTCCCCATTATTTTGTCTTTATTGGTTGCTTGAGACGTCGTGTTGGTTGCGACATGCTGACTAGATGTACACAGTAAGAGACGTGGTAACATGCCCATCAATCACTCTTGCTCCATCATTGACAGAATCCTTATGTTAAACTTAGGAAATCGTCGAATTTTGTGTAAAACGTTTTCGTGTATACTCAGTCTTCAGTAGTAAGGATAGGTAAGTCGACCAACATTAGTCAGATTCAGACCTGTGTAGTAAGGACAGAAGGCCTACGTCTTATATTATTCCTTCTCTAGAATCCTTCTGTAAGTATCTAGTCTTCTATTGAATAAGTCAATCGAAGGTGCGGGCACCACTGCTCCGGGTAACAGGTCCCAATAATCGACGACTCTGTGCGAAAACCTGTATGCCACAGGTATTTTGTTCGTTCTTGACTTTACTACTCGCCTGCTATGTCCTCTAAGATGTCCCGATCCAGTGGGAAGAAAAAGAGAGGATAGATTAGGTCCAAAATCATATCTTAGTATTCTATGCATCAAAATCAGATCACCTCTAAATCTGCGATGGGACAGAGTAAAGAGGTCCAGATTTTCAAGTCGTTCTTTGTATGGTAAACTTCGGAGCTCTGGAATTGCACGGGTAGTTGCCTTCTGTACTTTTGCACGATATCGAAGTCACCTTCTAAACAGGGGCTTGCAGCCTGAACGCAGTTCTCAATTTTAGTTCTCACTAAGGTTGTGTATACTGTAGTATCCAATTTGATGAATGTCCATCTTAAAGCCTATATGGTTCTAAACCCCTTAGCTGCAACTTACTGGCAGTAGGCTGTAGTCTTAAGGCCATGACTCACTGTCATCCCAAGATCCTTGTGAGACCGGACCACGAGTACAAGCACTTCCTCTATGCTGTACCTATATGTCTTTGTATCCCCAAGGTGCATGTAGATACATTTTGCTGCTTTGATAGACATCAACACTCTTTGAACCAGTTAATCACAATATTTCAGTCTGTCTGAAGAGCGCATGCATCTACGTCTCCAGTCGTTACTCATCAGATCGTTACATCGTCAATGTATAATAATATTGGGGGACTGAACTATGCTTGGGAGATCAGTTACATGCAGTATAAAAAGTAAAGGACCTAGGACATAACCTTGCAGTACTCCACTAAGTACTAGTATCCAAGTGGAGCACTTTGAATTTTCTCTTAATTTCTGTCTACGACGTACCAGGAAATCTTTAAGCAATTTTAAGAGAGGTCCGTTGTCTATCGTCTTTATTCAAAATTCCCCTGCTACAAAGAGGTTTTTCGTGCAAGGTAAACCCTTTTTATAACCATGTTGTTCGCTGTTTAACAAGTTGTTGGTTTCCACAAATGCCATTATAGTCTTTTTGACTATTCTTTCCAGTATTTTAACTGCGACACTGGTGAGGCTGACAGGTCTTTAGTTCAGTGGAAGTTGTCTTGGTGCTGTTTTATGTATTGGAGTGACGATTGCATTCCTCCGTACAGTAGAACTGTGTTGACGTTCTTATCGAAGATTGTGACTTTGATATTGGTTGACAGCTGTTTTGATTTGCATATGCTCTTTAATTGTAGGAGTGCAGCCCTTATCCATTACCTTAGGTAACACGACTTCGCTTATTGTGCGGGGATATGAATCGTTACAGTTATTTATTCGCACCACTACACTCTTGCTAGAATTTCACTTATAATCACGACATATATCTCCATTCAACCACTACATTTAGGTCATCCTGTAACATCCTATCTGACATATAGTGTATGGGTCCCCAAATCTTGTTGTCATCTGCAAGGAGTAGAACAGACGGCTTTGCTACAGTTGGTAAGTCATTTACATAAAGTAAAAGAAGAGGGACAAGGATTGTGCCTTGAGAAACTCCACCTTTTGCGGATTCTCACGTTGATAAAGCTAAGTTTGCTCGTACTCTTTGTCCTCTATCACTCAAAAAGTCATCCAGGTAATGATTTCATAATGGATCTCAAAACTTCCCAGTTTTAATTTAAGACCCAGGTAATAAACCTTGTCAAAGGTTTCACTTAGGTCTATAAAAATTACACATACCGTAATAGTTCTATCGCTGTAGCGCAATCTTCTCTTGCAATGAGATCTATCAAGCATGAAAAGCCTTTCCTAAAACCATGTCGTTCCCTGGCTGAAAGTTGTAGTCTTCAGGTAATGTAGGAGGCTTTGGTTCCGGCAATCATTTTCAAGGGCCGATTATAGTATGATAAAGAAAACATTATTTCGTCTGGCTTTTTGTTTGCATCTGATTCAAACCCCACCCGATGTAATTCATCCAAGGTATCCAAGTCGTTTCATTAATCCCCATATAAAGTAGAGACAAACTCACTTTTTGGTCACTGACTTGGATATTTCACTTTTAACAGTTGAACAGTGATACTGTGCTTTCGTAACCTTTTGTAGGTTTGTTGTAACTCGCTTAGATGATCAGATGTCATTAAGGATCAAGAGTAGCTCTCTGGACCTAATCCGTTAATATTAAGCTACTCATTTGTCTAAAAGAAGATATTGGTACATGTATCTTTCGTGTTTCGTTACTGAGACCAATATCTATGATTCAGAAATATAATATTAGTCTTAAGTGAAAGTAACACTGTTTTTAGTGGAATTTCAAACATCAGAAATATTGTGTAGAAGAGAAAATGAAATCAAAGACTGACAAGTACAGAATGACTTTATGCCCGTCTCCATTCGTAGATTATGGTTACCTCTTGAACCCTAAGCAAGAAGTCTGGATCTTGTCACATGCCTCTGATCTGTCTATGACTTCATAGATTGGTGCTATATTTCTCTTTAAACACCCTTACTTATCCCGTACTCTTTGCTATATAAGCTATTATGGTGCATTTCGATGAAGATGGTAGTGTCTAAAGCTTTATACTTAATCGTCGCGTGGATAGATATATGTCACTGTGATCGATCCTGATTCTTTTTGTCTGGGTTTCCGACCATGGACTGCATTAGTTTCGTCAAAATAGTTCACACCTTATAAAATCCAAATCACCATTCAGAGAATTCATGCATTAACTCTGTTTTTAAGTTTATGGACCTTTAGTCTTTGGCTGATCTGATTCTGTTCTATATAGTTTTCTAGAATTTGATAGAATTTGATCTGCACTAAGGAAAACCTGACAAACTTGATATTGACCACTACCCAGTAATCAATGAACTAGAAATACGAAGAAGTAGCTTGACTTTTATCAGTTTACACTATCATTGATTCAGTCGACATGTTTGTCTACTGATTGGCTTAACAGCTAGTTGACAGAAGACCAAAGATAGAGTAAGATATAATATCACACTATGAGGTCATTGACCATAGATGAGTAAAAACATTATTTTTGGTTTTCATGAGTTAGTCTTAATCGGTATTTGATGATTTTAGGTGACACCTTTAATTCGGTTACGGTTGTGTACTACTTCTTTTTAATCCTCTAGGTCTTGAAAATCGTAATATTCTACGCTTTTTTCGAATTTCCTAGTTTATTTTGGAAAGGTTTATTTTTATTTATCAACTATAACATATATAACTATTTTCACTCATTGGTTTTTCTCTTAGTGATCTGCTTCCGCTTTATTGAAAAATTGAATTTATAACACTTTACTTGGTTTGTATGTTTAACAATTATCACCAATATATTTGCTTGGGACTGTATTTTGTAGTATTGTTAAAGTGACTTTCAAGACATGATTTATCAAACTCATCTGTTTTTTTCTCACGTTGACAGATTTGTGGTGAAATTGAATTACCTTCTGTATTCACCGGATAAAAATGGACGTAAGTTTTTATCGTTTATTATCCATTCTTGTTATGGGCTTTTTATTTAGCAGGGATGTAGATTTCGTTTTGCAATAAAGCTTTGAATCGGCATTTCGCTTAACTCTGTTCATTAATCGTAGCTGACACAACTACATGAAAATGGGAAGCTTGAGTATTATTTCGACTCTATCTTAATAGTCCACCGATTGTAGTTTCCTATAAATAAATGTATTTAGGTTTGTAGATCGTTCCACTATATATACGGGCTGATAAGAACAGTCTGATAAAAAAAGATGTTATTCAACTGGCTGCCATATGGCGAATATTCATTAATAAGCAATTGGACACTTTATCCAATCTATTCATTTCACATGCATCGTTATTCTGACAGGAATTAATTGCGATATTTTGGCGTTACAATTATGTATTTGATGGTTCTCATTTTACATACACACCGATGTTTCAAAAAACGTTTTCACTTTGCACTTTTTATTTTTACTTCGAATAAAAACAAAGTAACACCTAATAGCAATTATTAATAACTCAAACTTACACATACATATTCAATCATCCATTCATTCATTTATCTTCACATTGTGGACTTTTCACATGATTCTCATATAATTGATTCATGATATGATTCATGTCAACATCTGAATATGATCGGATAAGCACAGTAAAGTTTTGATTTGATTGTTAAACACTATATATCATTTGATAATTTTGGTTTCCATAGTTACCCTGAAGAAATCCAGACAGTTTGCTGGACAAAACTTTAGAATTCTTTGGATTTCAATCGCGGAAATTATTTCAAATGTCATTTTTCACATGATAATAATACAGATGATGTGTGGTAGTGAAAGTAAATATTTTTGGTCAGCGAGTATGGACATATGGGCACTCAACTTACTGATGATTATTTATGTGATTTCCTTTCCTCTCATTGATTTCTAATCCGAACTCAATGAGATTGACTGCTTATAATTGTGTGAAATAAAGTATTCCTAATAATTGAGTTTATGAGTCGATCCAAGCTAGATTTTCATTGAAAATTTAGAAGCACTGGACGGCTGTTTCGTCGTAATATGTGAGACCCAAGGTCCTGGGGTCGAGTTACAGATGCGGGATCGTAGATGTGCACTATTGAAGAGTCCCATACTAGGAAGAAACGGTGGTCCAGTGCTTCCAAGTTTTCAATGAAAGTCTAGCTTAGATCGACTTATGAATTCAACTATTGAAATTACTGCAATCTCCACAGACCCCTATTTTGAGAATAAAGTATTGTCTGAGGTTACTCTGGTTCTCTGTTCCTGGTCGTGAATCGTGTATCCGATATAACGTGGTTTACTATGTGCATAGCTTATCGATCGGGTATCTAATCTAGCGATATCATAAACTCGGTTACCCAGACTAGTTTTATTATCATATTATTGTACTAGCGTAGTATACCACAGAGAGAAAAAATATTTTAATTCATGCTTTATGTCAGCAAAGGACAGGACACGATAGTGCACTTAGCTCTACTGTCCGGTTGCGTACCAAATAAGTTGATATAATTTGATCACGATCAGGATATTACTTCCATTTTTTAGAAAAGAAACAAATCACTAGTAAGCGTAAACATGGTGTTTAAAATAAAACTTTAAATTGTTTTTTTAAAGTTTCAGATCTGTTTTATTGAGTGATACAGCTGAAATATACATTTCACTTATTCTACCTGCGGTTTTGGTCGTAGATAAAGTAGGAGTGTAAGAGGTTTATGGTCCCTGATTATAATTTTTTATATTTGAAAACATCAATGGCCAGAGATTGAGCAATATGTTTTGGAATATACCCTCTCTGTGTAAATTACCCCACTGCTGAATATACTTTCCCATTTCATCCATTTACCTACATTTATGTACATAGTTTCCATTTTACGACCTCTATCCTCTATTTCATTTGTCATCCTGCTTTCTTCACTTGCACTTAGTATGTCATTTTTCATCATGAGTTGTTAGTATCTCCCTGACGTTTTACGTCCTATCACAGTCCATCTTGTAATAGGTTACGAATGACCTAGAAATCTGTAGACAATATTAGTTATTTTATTCTTTTTTTTACTCTATGGGGCTCATGCTCGGGTTGTTTATTTATTTTGCTTTGGCTGTTCATTAGCAATTCTTGTAATTGTTGTACCATATTGGAACACTTGGGTTTGGCAAGTACCCTTTTTCAAAGCGCCATAATTGAAGGTTGTTAATTTACTACTCTAACTATATATATTTTTATAGTCTGATTTGTGACATTTTGGACTCATTCGTAATATATGTGAATTTCTTGTTTTGAATTTATCTTAAACACACATTAGTTTGTTGTAATTACGTTTTAGATGCATGTGTATCACTTTTGTCGGCTTCAATATCACCAGACATGCCCAACAATTTATTTTGCTTTAAAAAGTTTGTGTTTCATAACATGCTCTGATACACTTCTATACCAGGTTTTATTTCAAATCAATCAGTTACATTTCAGATCAGTATTTATTATCAAGAAATTATCACTGAAATAGTTCAATGATATGTCACAGTAAAGGCTCGCTTTGTTGTCTAACATTTTATCATCAAAAGTTTTACATTAAGACTGCTTAAATGATTGCGTATTATTCTATACATTGGACTCAGTAGTACTCAGTATATTGAATTTTCACAGTTTGAGTGATATAAATATATCATTCTTTTGTTGTATATTATGTATATTCAAGATGTTTTTCTGTAGATGTTTGTAGGTTCTTTCGTAAATTATTGTCTCGCCGAGTTTTATTGAGATTACAAACCAACATAAGTTGTACAACCTTTAACAACCTTAATCCACTGGACGACTGTTCCGTTCTTTTATGGAACTCATCATCAGTGAACATCCACGACGCTATCACAGGGGATCAAAACCAGGACTATCGGTTTTGCGTGCGAGTTCTTAACCTCTAAACCACTGAGCCAGGATCAGATAGTATATAAATGATACAGTGGGTCAATCAAAAGTCGCTAAGTAAGAGCGCCACTTTGTGCCAATCAAAAATTTCCAACTTGACAAATGTATGCTATTGGACGATAAATGGCTCCATTTTCTACGGAATAAATACATAAATGAGTGCTTATGATTAGGATACGGTTTAGCCAAATAAACTACCCTCTTCATTCATATTCTTATTTAGTCCCCGGTTGGGGCTTCGATGTAGGAAGTTCATGTGTCTGTATCAGATTCGGATACCAGGTGTTATAACATTAAGTCTAACTTCAATCTTTTGTTTGTGTTTGCTTGGGTATCACGGTTTTCAATATACCGTAGACGTTATATAGTCCTAAATTAAAGGTTTTCAGTTATGGGTTTTTAAATACCTCTGTTTTTGAATCTATATGACTTTACCTTCGTTATGCTTAGTGTTTTTGTCTTTTACATTACACAAAGTTAAATTGTTTTCATACATTCTACAGAATCTTTTACAGGAAAATCATAGTCTATTAAAGAAATTAGAATTGAAAAAGGAAATGGAAGCAGCTTATCTCGATGAGATCGAACAACTTAGATCAGTAATTACTCAATTACAACGAGAAAAGACTTCGATTTCCACTCCACGTGTTGATGACAATTCGTCATTATTGTATGACCTAGAAGGTCGTGTTGAAAAATCTGAAGAAAAAGTTGCGCTACTTACCAAAGAGCTTGATTTAGCCAAAAAGCGGGAAGCTGATCTACTGGAACAATTAAATAGTTTTGTAAATAAAGTGGATAGTATTTCTGAAGTGAGTTTACGTTGATCTTGTTCTTTATCATGTGATGAACTTTTATTGTTAACCACTATTCCTATTCTAATATTAAAGTTTCTTAAGATTCTCGCGTATTGTGGGTCTACTAATTGAACAATCCTGAGGTTAGACGCAGGATACTGAGTAAAGATGTCAAGTCGGTCGATGAAGCAGTGAAATTTTTATTGACTGAGGTGGTTGGGTCATGTATTACATGTATTTGACCATCGCCTATCTCGACTAGCAATACTGGCTAACGTAAGTATAAGCTGAAATGAAAGTATGGCAACCAATTCAGGACTCTGGATTAGTCCATGAAGCTATTGATAATTGAACTGTGTCGTGTTGGTAGATTCAGACTACCTATTTATGGTCGTCTACTCAATAACCACGATCAATAGTCTCAGACTTTGATATGTCTCACAATTGATCACAAGACTACAAATGAATTCATTCTTTATCTTATTTTAGACTATGAGTTTCATTTTTCCATCATGCATACCTTTCCACTCTATATTCTTGAATCATATTCCCGATGTTCATTATCCCACGTAATGATTGTTATTACATTATTTCAATTCGTTTACTATTCGTCCTACCATTTCTCATCAACGTATTCTTGTGGTCTGGCAGCTTGGCCCAACGCAAATTTATCCCAGACTCCATGTTGATTATAACTGACTGTAGGCTAATTAAGTTTGTGTTTGACAGCTTACACCTGTGTACTCGAATACCTATGTAATTATTGTTTGAGTAAATTCCTGACCGTATTGATTCTCTTTATTCTTCTTGTGTATCTCTTTTTGTTGGTTTACTTTCATTCTGTTAGTATAAAGTGTGGCAACTTCAACTAATGTATCGTCATTGACACGGCCCAAAGTTTATATTCATCTAGTGGCATAATAATCCCATATATCGTATACGGATATCTGCTTAGAATCAAGTCAGTGGGCTTTTTTCTGTCAGTTTGGTATTTAAATTACTTTACTTCATTCTTAGGCACTGATAATTAAATATTTTCCCATAAACGAAAAGAATACATCGGGTTTTCCGTTAACCACTAGTGATTTTATTTTTTTAATGATATTGTCTGGCCTATTCACATTCACATCTAGAATTGATGAAGCATGAAGGTTGTAAGTGATTTGATTAGCGTTGTATTTTCATTACACCACTAAAGTACCCTATTTTTACCTTGTAGTCAGTATCGAATGAAATTTTAGGAATATGTCGTTCCATTTTTCAGTGTTCTGTAACTGTTCCTGAACCACACAATTCTTTGGCAGAGGAAGTCATTCGGTTGAAAGAGGAACTATCTAGCAAAGAAACTTCTAATCGTCTTGAACAATCAAAATTAACTCGTCAAATTCAAGAATCGGAGGATGATCGTCAAAATTTACAGGATTATATTATTGAATTAGATCGTCAGTTAAAAGTGAGTATGAATATGTGCAAATGAATTGTATGATATTTATTTGAGAAGATTTAGTTGTACTACACAAAGCGTTACATTAAGATGTGTCATTCATATGCCCAACCACTGCTTACCTTAACTTATGATATTCACTTATGTAGCAGTAGATTGCAAGGAAGTTAGAAACGACAGAACCATGTTATGGGATCAGTCCATGAAGTTGCTGATTGTTGAATTCAACCGTGCTGGTAAATACAGACTATCTGATTGGTATCCGCGCGACTGTTGTAGCCATTGGTTGGGGACGATGGATAATGTGTCCCAGAATCGATTGCAATAGCGCAGATAGCAACATTGTGCTACACTTTTTTATTCCACACACTCATTCTTCTCGAACCTCATTGTTTATACCTGATATTCTCTACTACTACTGTTACTACTTCTGATACTCTGGGATATATCTTGACAATTTTATCTCGCTGTACTGATGTGATGTGGCAACATGAACACCGACTCATGTATGTACCGGGTTTTACGTTGCTTACGACACATACAAAGCGTTCATACCAAACACGAAGACTATGCACTACAATGTGCTAACTATTTCGAGCTTATTAATTTCTGAAAATAGCAAGTTGTAAAAAGGAGTTAACCTACAAGTTTTATTTATATAAGAACAAACTTCTAATCTTTGTCAAAATATCACGGAAGCAATTAGTCTTGTTTAGCCATACGACTCTGAAGCCTGATTTTTGTCATTTGATATATATTTTGTAAATTGTAGAGTTTTAAGTACCCATAAAACGTGATAAATTAACTCCATGCTATACCAAACCTTACTTAGTTGTTTTAAAGTTGTTGAGGTAGAAGGAACATTGAAATCATTTATTTAGAAATAATTAAAATACTCCTAGGTTTTATTTATTATAGATTAGATAATATCTGGTTCTCATTTTCAAATTGAATTTCAATAGTTACATTAATTCATGCTGTTTTATGCTTATTTCTTAATTAGGATTGTCGATTAGAATTAACTGATACTCGAGCTCAACTAGAAGCATTACAAATTCAATCAAATTCTACAGAAAGCACACGAGGGAATTCAGTATTTTCTGAAGTCAGTTTGTGCAATGCACTATTTTTAGATATTTATGTCATATCAACTATTTTTTTCCATTATTTATTTATTTAAACACATAAGCATTTGTACAAGGAAGCAGCAAGTATATACTGCCCAAACGCCCAAACCGAAACAGGTGGTTTGGTTAGGGGGCCGCTCCCTGAGCCTTTGGCCCGGAATGCTAATCCATAAGGCAATGTAACAGCGTAAGGAGATGCAATCCCATAGTAGCCAGTGAGCAACAATACGCCATTTGTTCCTTCAAGATCCTGGAGCCCATGTGCACCATTTGTTTTGAATCACGGTTTCCTAACTCCCCTCGGTGGATCTTCTGTACCCACCAACCCGGATATTCTCCTTTCGTCCTCTCAATTTTGTAAACGACAGTAATACCGCGAGAATGTAGTAAGTAGGACTTTCCTGGCAGCGACCCTATACGTGTGGCTGTACGAAAGAAAGCATTTCGAGAGGGATAGGAGACTCTCCCTCATATATATGTGCATAAGGGTACACATAACTGCGTCTTGACTACTTAATTTCTTAATGTTTGACTATGTTATTACATCATGGACTGGATAAAAGTGTTATCTAATAAACATACACAAGTAACTATTGCCGCACAATTTTATAAAAACCTTGCATTCTGAAAATAAGCTTTTATAAGACAGAATTATCTATGATGGTTTTTGACAGCTAATCTAGAATTAGTGAATCTGTTCTGATTTGTACAACAATCTCCAGCCATCACTTTATAATGTTAACACGGTACATACGATGTCTAACCAATTAGACTAGCTAATGGCTGCATTGCAACTTGATTGGTAGAATTTAATCAGTACTTAGAGGGACTTCACATATATAACACTGGTCAGCACTCAGCGCAAGCGACATATGTTGTTACAATATCATGGAAAATATCTAAATTAACCACTTCACACTTATTGCTAACTTTCTTCGCGATGCAAAAACGCTACCTACAGTTTGATGAATTGACGTTTGATATGTTTAATATACTACCACCAATGAAAACAATCTTTGTTTATAAATTATTTAATAAATTATTCATATATTTGTATTTCATAAGTGGTAAGTTTAACATTCAAATTCTGACAACATTGCATGTTTGCTTGAAATATATAAAATAATTGCCTCAACATATGATGATGATAATTGATGATAATCACATCTTCACTTATAAATCCCTATTTCGTGAATTGTTGGTCAGTTTACTATTATTAGTTCTAAATATTTAACATTTAGAGATTATTGAAAGTAAACATATCTGTTCTCTTAATGATTCAAATGTGTTTCATGTGTATATGTTTCCTGTAGATTGTAGTAGATACGTCATATTATTACCTTTGTTGTTGTTGCTGTTGTTTAGTGCAAACACTTGAAATAGAACTTTTTAATAATTTCTACCTTTTGTCCTCCAACCCGATAAGACATTAAATATGAATGAGCAGCATAATGTGAAGTCGTGTAATTTGTCAAATCTGATCGATGAGATTTAATCAGAATTTGTGACGAGTTGGGTAACTTTTGGTAAATGAGCAGTAATCATGTTGGGTATGCTAGATCCCCAGAAATCTCTTGGTAAACGTCTCATTTTCGTAATTTTATTTTGAAAATTTAAATTTCCTATTTCCGCGCCAAAAGTGCTCACTTCTACCTTCAGTTTGTATTTCCTGCTCGGGAGGACCTTGAATGTCATTGGTTCGTTTCCTCTTTTAGTGCTCTGTTTTGTGACGTTTTCCAAGGGCATATTTGTGAGTCAGTCAATCAGTCAGTCAGCGACAACGTAGGACCAGGCACATATATGCATCGGTCCAAGTTGCCATACCTCGTTAGCACAACAAGATGAACACTGGATTCATAGAAGTAATTAATTTAGTGGTGGTAGTATATAAAGAAAGGTTGTATAGAAGGATATAGTATAGGAAGGAAAAAGGTTATTAAGCAATTTTAATCTGAAGTTTTAAGGGAAGATAAATAGCGTATACACCTACGCCATTGTGATCGATTCTGAGCCATGTCACCCAGAGGGCATTTTTGTACTGTGTATATACACATGAGTTGTGTACCTAGTTCGTTCGTGCTTCTGGCTGTTTGTGGAATAAACTTTTCCCTCAGTTGAATCTGATCTTTTCCCTTTAAATAAAGACAGAACAAATATTGATGCAGAATAATATAAATTCATTATATTTCGTGGTTTCTCATCAGCTGCTTACAACCAAATATGCATTAGAGTTTTAGCATTGGGGTAATAAATAGGATGGAACGACTGACATAAGTGAATGTAAAGGATTGGAATAACAAAAGTCATCAATGATAACTATATATATATATATATATATATATATATATATATATATATATGCAAGGAAAGGTCAGATGTTATTAGGTATTAGAATGAAGGGTGGCGTAATAGTGGAGTTCAAAGACAGAAATTTTTGAAAAGACGTCTCCCTGCTCATCTTTTCCCTTTAGTTAGCATGGCTTGGGCGAAGTGAAATAGTTGAGCTTGTCCTATTGTTGTTTTGCTGATTCGTTCCGTTCGCCGGTTTAAATGATATCGCCATCTCTCCAAACGTAGTAAATCAGTCAGTGAAGCGTTACGTTTTTCTTATTTGTTTGATTATTTTATTGATTTTAACATTATTTAAGAGTGATTTCTTATCTATTATGGACGATCTTTCTAAAATATAGGTAGTGAAGTCTTGCTTGTGAAGGTTTGCTTGTTCTTATATCAATATTGAATAGTTTTTCACATGTTGAATTTTTAAAGATAACTTTAGTGGTTCCATCGCCTATGACAGTAGTTATGATTTTAGTTCTAAACAGTTGAATGTTATTTTCGATATACATGATCGTAAATAAAACCAGTTAAGTTTTTTTTTTTGAAAAATAAAGCAAAACGAAGTCATTTAGTAGTTGGAATTTATTGATAACTCAGCATGATGTTGACAGTTTCATTTGCATATTCCTTACGGTCCAATATCTAATTCATTTGTAAGTAGGTCAAATACTTGTACTACTCGTAAATTTATCGTTTTTACTGTTTTGGAAAGCTTATCTCTAGTTCAAGTAGGTGCAAACATATAGACCTGGATACAAGAAGTAAGGGGGAATTATTAAACAACTTCACTGTTAATTTTCTATCATTTGTTTAACTTTTAAAATGATAAATTATTTACTTAGAAATTAAATTAAATTATGATAATGGTAACGAAGGAGTGTGTACAATTTATTGATGAGAATGATTCAACAAAAGATTAAGTTGTATACTTCGGTAAATTTTAGATTGAAGATCGGCGTATTCGTGCCGAGAAAATTGTTGTTAAACAAGAAGAACAAATTAATGAATTAAAACTACGTTTACGTCAAACAGAAGCTGATGCTAAGCGTAAATTAGTAAGTTAAAAAAGTACGTTAAAATAGCTTGTTTTTCATTGAATAATCACTTTCTAGATAATTCTAGTTATGGACTACACTAATCTTATTAAGATGGTACACTTTTTATACTTGATATTCATTATATCATACTTTAAAAATATCTTAAGAATATTTTCACAACTAAGTTTGTCTAAATTCACTTAGTATTGTTTGTTTGGATCTTCCCATCGATGTGTTTAGGACTGCAACTGGTCAGTCTCTAATTGGCATATGTGCATACTGTGCGTATTGCCTCGATATACCTTAATTCACAAGCATGGTAAGCAGAGATGGATAGTGGCTAATTTTTATTTATGTAAAGAGTGTATTTCACGTAGGGGCTGGATACAATTGGAAGCAATGTTTAGAAATAATTATAATGTTGGGTATAGAGTTTGAATTGTATCACATCTCACGAGCTTCAAGCTTTACCAATGGATGTTAAAGAGAGTTTTTCTCTAATATCTGTTAAGATTTCATCAAATATTTTGTCCATCGATTGTTCTAATACTATGATGTGTTAGCTGTTATCATTTTTGGTACAGCACAATCGGCGAAAGAATTATATGGATATAATTTTGCGAATCCAATTCCAACATACCTTCATAGTGTTCAAAGGATGAATTCGATATAATATTTATTCCATCGTTGTACTAAGTAGGGTCTGTTTCCATAAATATTATAGATTAGACGAAAGAACCGTGTATCCCAGTTCAACTGAAGTATTTACAGGTTAAAGCAATTAACAATTTAGATTTCGACCAATATGAATTATTTCCTGTCACTGTGCATCAGCGATTAAGCAAAAGATGGCAGAAGGATAAAAACACTAGATAAATCTAAAATTTGAGTGATTTAAATTTTAAACTAGTGCTCTACGTAGGCTGCATGAATTTAAATAACTGAACTCCATGTGTTTATCTACAATAAGTTCTCCGACTTTAGATGTTATACACTAGATTTTAGATCCAATACTTTAGTGTATAAATGTGATATATTTCTGGATACCACAAACTGAAGTGACACATGCCAATCTAAGTATATTTTAGCTCCATGTCATTTTTCATCTGGTTGTAAATAATTGGTCGTACGATACTTCTACGTGTGAAGTTATACTGTTAGTCTTCTCAATGCTAAACCTCTTTAGCTTCTCCATATGCTCTTGTACTATGCTTTATACAGACAGAATCAATTCAGAAATTAGAAACTAGGTATCGTGATCGAGACACGAATTTTGTTGATGAGTTAGTCGCTGAACGTGAACGTTTGATTAATGAAAACACGAAATTGAGTTATCAAGTACAACATTTGGAAGAACTACAAGTATGTTTTAAATGTGATTTGTTTGTTTTTTTGTTTATCAAATAATTCTCACAAGATATCCAACTTCCTACCACCGAATACGAATACTGAAACAGTCTTTCTGAAACAAAGTACACCATTAAAACTGGCTTCCTTCCTTGTTCGCATACTAATGCAGATCGGATAACAGATAAGGTTGGCTATGTCTTTAGACAGTCTTAATATCGACATCTCCTTGTTCCATTCGAGCAGTGGTGTTAGGCAGGGTTGCCCGATCTCACCATTCCTCTTCAACTTTGCCATCGATGACATCCTGGAAACAGCTCTGATGGATGTAAGTAATGGCAGTGTGGATATGTTGCCTGGAGAACGACTTCTCGACCTCGAGTATGCGGATGATATTGTCTTACTATGCGATAATGCCCAAGGCATGCAATCCGCACTTAATCAGTTGGCAATCAGTGTCCGCAGGTACGGCATGTGCTTTGCACCCTCCAAGTGCAAAGTACTCCTACAAGACTGGCAGGATTCTCATCCTGTAATCACCGTGGATGGTGAGCAGATTGAAGTAGTTGAGAAGTTCGTGTATCTAGGTAGCTATATAAGTGCTGATGGTGGTGTTAGTGATGAGATTGATGCACGTATAATGAAAGCCAGAGCGGTTTATGCCAATCTGGGCCATCTTTGGCGCCTTCGTGATGTTAGTCTGGCTGTAAAAAGTCGGATCTACAACGCGTCGGTGAGAGCAGTTTTGCTCTATGCTTGTGAAACCTGGCCTCTCCGAGTTAAGGATGTTAAACGTCTCTCCGTGTTCGATCATCGTTGTCTCCGAAGGATTGCTGACATCCAGTGGTAGCACCATGTTACTAATGCAGAGGTTCGGCATCGTGCGTTCGGGCGCAGAGATGATAATTCAATTGGTGTCACTATCTTGAAACACCGACTTCGGTGGCTTGGACATGTTCTACGAATGTCGTTCCACAGAATTCCACGTCGTGCATTATTTGCTGACGCTGGGGCTGATCTGAAAAAGCGGAGAAGTGGTCAGTGTATGACATGGTGTCGTGGCATGAAAAAAGACTGCACAGGTTTGGGATTTGTTGATTCTTCACGATTCCCTGGTTGGGGTGGTCCTAGAGATGGTGCAAGACAGTGGCTAGAGACGTTATCAGATACGGCTCATAATAGAAGCCAGTGGCGATCATGCTGTAATTTTATTCTACTTTCTTCTTGAAAAAATGGACGTAACTTCTTTAACTGGAAGAATTCTTTCTGGTTATACCTTAGCTAATTGAACTACTTCTCACACTATTATTATTTCACTATCATACACTAATTTCTGTTCTTTATTGTTCCCCTTTTTCTTATACACACCTTACGTCTTTTATCTCTCCACATTTTCATTGTTATTGTGTGGCTCATATGTATCTGATGTCCCTTTGTACCAATATTTGTGTGTCCGAATAAATAAACTAAACCAAAGAATAGTAAGTACTTTTAATGTAATTTATAGGAATTTGAATCATCCCGTCGTCCATACTTTTAACTGAATTCTTACCAGCGCATCCTATATGGATTGCCTCAATACACCCGTATCGTCATAATTTTTCGCCGAATAGATGATTTGTGACTAACAGTGAAATAAAGGACTCGATTTGCGTTCCATTCAAGGCTCGCTAGCTGAATATACACCTGTGTCCTTGTGTTGATATTCACTCTGGGGCTTGAACTTAGTGCCTTCCACTTTAGGTACCCAACGCGTTACGCACTGAATTACAAAGTCAGAATACCCACTGGCCTGTGCAATAGATATAAATTTGGTTTAATCTGTAGGGCTTAAATCAACACTAGGATACAGATACGTCCAGCTGACGAGTCCCAAATAAAACGAAACACTCATCCTGAATTTCACTTCTTGCCACAGTCCATTTGCTCCATAAAAAATGTAAATGCTTCCATTAATCGTTTTTGTTTAGTTAAGAATTAACTATTACTAGTTAGACTTCAATTTTCTTCGTATTTTCATTAGTAAATATGTTAACTATGATTCATGGAGTTATATTTGCTCATACATGTATAACCACAGTAATCTTTTTATCTCCATGCGAAACGTATTAAGACAATCGACTATTATGTGATAGATTATTATCAATTTCAGCTTTAACAGATGAGTAATATAATTAACGCATATGAGTGTAACTCACAGATTATCGCGTAGAACTATTATATACTACTCAACTAGACTATTTGTTTTATAGTTTATTTCTACTGAAGAGACTAAATAATCTCTGCGTAAAACTTTCATTTCATATGTACAACTGTAAATTTTTCTAATTTAACTTGTTTTTTTCCTATGCATGAAACAGTATTGTCTGACAAGGAATTCTGCATAATGCTGAGTTGTAAACATTTGTTTTTTTATTTCTTTAACGGTACCATATTTATTTTGCCAATATTTTTTATTTAACATCATTGTTTTTCCTTTAAAAAAAATAGCAATTGACTTCATGATTTCATGTAAATCAAATTATTTATTGTTCCTAAATGAATAAACATTATGTCATAATAAGCAAAGATGGATAGTGGCTAGCAGTGAAATCCAGGACGCGCGTTTCGTCCTATTTGGGACTCGTCAGCTGATTGTACCTGCATCTCAGAGTTGACGTTCACTCTGGGACTCGAATCCAGTACCTTTCGCTTCAAATGCCATCGTGTTATCCACTCAGCCGCTGAGTCCTGACAGCCACTTGTGCAATGGGATGAAGTTGAAATTCACTTAGTATTGTTTGTTTGAATCTTCCCATTGTTGTTTAGGACTGCAACTGGTCAGTCTCTTTGCTTACAATGCTTGTGAATTTAGGCTATATCGAGGCAATACGCACAGTATGCACATATGTCAATTTGAGACTGACCAGTTGCAGTCCTAAACATCAATGGGAAGATTCAAATAAACAATACTAAGTGAATTATATCATAATGTTTAGTTAATTTAAACATTTTCTGAAAACTTATTTCTTAAAAGGATATTTACTGTTATCATCATGTTTATTCTCTGTCACAATGTTTTCTTTATTTGGTTTGATTTTCAGTTGGATCAAGAGCGTGGAGCTTTAAAAATATCAAAGGCATTTAATTTAGAAGGTAACTCACAAGAAGGTGTCATATCGAATTTAGAGTAAGTTATATTTGTTTAAGTTTTAATTGCTGTAATATTGCATATTGTACAGTGTTATGAAAAAGTCATGTTTTTTCCTCTCTCTCTTTCTCATATATATACTGTTTCACTGCCATTCGAGTTCGCAACTAATATTATAGGCTTTCTATATGCGTGCCAAAACCAAGCTGATTGAATAATCCAAGAGTGAGTAAGAAGAGTATAGGTTACGTATCCGTAAACTTGTTGTATATCTGCTTCTCAAGGTTCAAAATATAGCGCTTTTCCGTTTATGTAATGTGTGAATGATGTATAAAACATAATTTCACTGAGAATTTTATTTCAGGCTTTTAATTTCACTGTATTTGCTCATTATGTCCAAGAGGTTGATATGCGCTACAGTATCTTGTTCGAGGAAGGCATATATATTTAGCCTTCGGTGATTGAAATGAAATCTCCATTGAAAATCATACTCTGATATGAAGCACTCGCAGTAAGTGAAAAGATAGATGCTCGTAAATGCACACTCATTGAAGATTGAAAAATGATGGTTATCTCCACGTGTAAGTAGATGTGATTAACTAGCCGAATCAACACTTTCAAAACCATACAACTATCTCCCTCAAGAAATCAAGCCACATTTCCAACTAATAGCTTATGTCTACTTCCTCATAAAGTGAAGCTGAATCTTGATCGATAGCGTGTGCTCATCAACACCTCTCACTTATCATTTGACGTATGTTTAGTTGACCTAGGGTATCATCGTTTCTCCTGAAAAGGAAGTTTTGTTATTGGATTAAGCTCTGAATCACGAGTCATGAAACTACTAGAAAAACGTTGCAAAATGTTTCGACGTTTGTAGGAAATAGACATCGTCTTGATTGCTGGGTTAGTTATCTTTGGTAACTTTTAGTGGCCCTATATCTGACTCCAGTTAAATCGTATGCTGATCCTTGCCCAAATATACATGTTGTCAACCCTCGTATATAATTTATCTGCCTAATTCACGTTAGAGAATAACGGGATAAAATAAGCTAAATACGGTAATAAACTTTGAATACTTATATTTCATACACTCCTTGGTGCAGACAGAAAATCAGAGAAACGAAACGAAGTGACGCTCAACAGAGGCGAAAAGCGGGCCAACTCGTTTTGATCAAGCGTGACTCAATATTTATATACAGACGAAAATAAATTACAGATACGTAATGAATATGACAAGCAATTAACACACATATGATCATATAAAAACACTTGGAGTTAGTAAGCGAACAGGTGACAAGGTCAACATGTGGCTTGAGAGGAATGAATAAATTGGTTTGTTCAGAAACTAGAATAACCTATGTGGGCTTTGTTAAGTCTTGTTAATTGAACGCTATACTTAGTTCCTAAGCTATCCTCGTAACCCTCCAAGCTAAAACTACTCAGCAACTTGAACTCCAGAGCAAAGGCGCGAAATATGCGAGAAACACTTTACTCCAAAGGTTCATTCATGTACTGAAAATATAGGGTTTTCATAGTATTTGAGAAGTCCTTGGGTTTTCCCGAAAATTCTGGAATGCTAGCAAACATAGTAGCAGGTTAGTAATCAGCCAATCAAAAACTCTACATGTGACTTTTCACTTTCATGATGTTTCTGGCGAACTTTTAGTGAACGCTGATTGAATAAAATGCTTCTTAGTGCTTCCTGAGTCTTTCTTGTCTTTTGCGAGAAGTTTTCTGGATCACCCGAACATGCTTGACATAGTACCAGCCACTATAAGCTATTAGTAATATATGCTTAAAAATTATATATAAATTTGGGTGAGGCCTAGGAATAAGAGACATTAATCGCGTTTCGTTCTATTTGTCACTTATTAGTTGGATGTAACTTCATCTCAATGTTACTGTTCATACTCAGATTTGAACTCAGTAACTTTCGTTTCAAACGTTCCAACTCCTTTTTCACTAAGCTACTGAATACAAATAGTCACTAACGTATTTAACCGGGAATGAGTTCATTTAACAATGACTACCATTTGATCAGTCTCGATTTGTTTATTTACATCTTGAGCGGCCTGCTTCAATATTACTATTTAGCCACAACTTTTGATACATTTGAAGTTCATCTAGAGATGGGATCCAAAACATGCGTTTTGTCCTATTAAGGACTCGTCAAATAGATGTACCTGGGTTCAATTTTCACAGTAAGTCTGAATCGTTTCAGCGACATCTGTTTTATTATAAAATTCGATTAAGCCACATGGATTAATACGCAAGTAGTAATGAGAATAACATTTTAATTTCCGGTTCATTTGTGCTAACTCCGCCTGTAGCTCTTCTAGAGTTACTGCCGGTCCCAAGCCCGGGTAAAGGAGGAGGGTTGGGCATGGGGTTAGCGACCCCATCCCGTAGAAAAGCTAATTCGCTAAAAAACGCTAACCAGAAAAAATAATTCAAACCATTTAAACTCTGCCCTGGGAGTTGAAGGAATAATTATGACGTCTCATGATGAAAGCCGAAGTTCTTCGGAGGTCACGAGACCGATGCACCTTCTAACAACCAGAGCAACACTCTTTATAGGTACATGGAACGTCCGGACAATGTGGGAAACAGGAAAGACCAGCCAAATAGCAATGGAAATGAGGAGATACAACTTGGCAGTACTCGGAATCAGCGAAACCCATTGGACACAAACTGGACAACAAAGGCTAGGTACAGGAGAGATGCTGCTGTACTCCGGTCACGAAGGGGAAAATGCTCCACACACTCAGGGAGTTGCTCTAATGCTGTCCAGAGAAGCACGAAATGCACTTGTGGGATGGGAATCTCATGGACCCAGGATAATCAAAGCATCATTCAGAACAAAGAAGCAAGGGATCACAATGAACGTTATCCAATGTTATGCACCCACCAATGATAGCAACGACGATGATAAAGATCAGTTCTATGAAAGGCTGCAATCAATTATAGCAAAGTGCTCACGAAAGGACCTCACCATCCTTATGGGAGATCTAAATGCTAAAGTTGGAGTGGACAACACAGGATATGAAGATGTAATTGGACGACATGGACTAGGAGAGAGAAATGAAAATGGGGAGAGACTTGCAAACCTATGTGCTTTCAACAAATTGGTTATAGGCGGCACAATATTCCCACACAAACGCATACACACAGCTACATGGATCTCACCGGACCACACCACAGAGAACCAGATTGATCACATCTGTATCAACAAAAAATTCCGAAGATCAATGGAAGATGTGAGAACCCGGAGAGGAGCTGACATAGCTTCAGATCACCACCTGGTTGTGGTCAAGATGAGACTGAAGCTAAAGAAAGACTGGACAACTGGACAAACAGCACTACAAAGGTATAATACAGCCTTCCTTCGAGATACTGACAAACTCCATGAATTCAAGATAACTCTCAACAATAGGTTCCAAGCTCTACAGGATCTACTGGATGGACAAGAAACTACTTTGGAGGACAACTGGAAAGGGATAAAAGAAGCACTAACTTCAACGTGTCAGGAGGTTCTTGGTCCTAAGAAGCACCATCACAAGGAATGGATCTCTCTGGCAACCCTGGACAAAATTCAAGAAAGGAAGAACAAGAGACTAGCAATTAACAACAGCCGAACACGAGCAGAGAAAGTCAAAGCACAAGCAGACTACGCAGAAGCAAACAGAGAAGTGAAGAAAAGCATTAAAGCCGACAAGCAGAAATACATGGGAGAACTAGCAACGACGGCGGAAAAAGCTGCAAGAGAAGGGAATATGAAACGACCATATGATACAACGAAGAAATTGGCAGGAAGATATAGCAAACCAGAGAGACCAGTCAAGGACAAAGAAGGAAAGACAATCACTGAGATTCAGGAACAGAGGAAAAGATGGGCAGAATACTTTGAGGAACTGCTGAATAGACCAGCCCCATCGAATCCACCGAACATCGAAGCAGCCCACACTGACCTTCCAATAGATGTCACTCCACCAACGATCGAAGAAGTCAAGATGGCCATCAGACAAATCAAAAGTGGGAAGGCGGCAGGACCTGACAATATACCAGCAGAAGCACTGAAGTCAGACATTGAAATAACTGCAAACATGCTTCACCTTCTATTCAAAAAGATTTGGGAAGAGGAACAAGTGCCAACGGACTGGAAAGAAGGATATCTCATCAAGATACCAAAGAAAGGAGATCTGAGCCTATGTGAGAACTATAGAGGTATCAGTTTGTTATCAGTACCAGGAAAAGTTTTCAACAGAGTGCTGCTGAATCGGATGAAAGACGCAGTAGACGCCGAACTTAGGGATCATCAGGCTGGATTCCGTAAGGATCGGTCGTGCACAGACCAGATTGCGACACTACGGATCATCGTTGAACAATCAGTTGAGTGGAACTCATCACTATACGTCAACTTCATCGACTATGAGAAGGCGTTTGACAGCGTGGATAGGAGAACATTGTGGAAACTTCTTCGACACTATGGAGTTCCTCAGAAGATCGTCAACATTATCCAAAACTCATACGATGGATTACAGTGCAAAGTGGTGCATGGAGGACAGCTGACAGATGCATTTCCAGTAAGGACCAGAGTCAGACAAAACTGTCTACTCTCCCCATTTCTCTTCCTTCTAGTGATTGACTGGATTATGAAGAATTCGACATCTGAAGGGAAATACGGAATACAATGGACAGCTCAGAATCAATTAGATGATTTGGACTTCGCAGATGACCTAGCCCTCCTCTCTCATACACACGACCAAATGCAGATGAAGACAGCAAATGTAGCAGCAGCCTCCGCATCGATAGGCCTCCACATTCACAAAGGAAAAAGCAAGATTCTCAAATGCAACACGGAGAACACCGACCCAATCACACTTGACGGCGAAACTCTGGAAGAGGTGGAAACATTCAAGTACCTGGGAAGCATCGTTGATAAACAAGGAGGATCGGATGCAGATGTAAAGGCGAGGATTGGCAAAGCAAGGGCAGCATTTCTACAATTGAAGAACATATGGAACTCAAAACAACTCTCAACCAATTTCAAAGTCAGAATCTTTAATACGAACGTCAAGACAGTCCTACTGTATGGAGCTGAAACGTGGAGAACTACTACAGCCATCATCAGGAAGGTACAAGTATTTATAAACAGTTGTCTACGCAAAATACTCAACATCCATTGGCCGGATACTATCAGCAACAGCGTTTTATGGGAGAGGACAAACCAGCTTCCAGCTGAAGAGGAAATAAGGAAAAGACGTTGGAAGTGGATCGGACATACATTAAGGAAATCACCAATGTGCATCACGACTCAATCCCTAACTTGGAATCCGTAAGGGAAGCGGAAAAGAGGAAGGCCAAAGAACACACTACGCCGGGAAATAGAAGCCGATATGAAAAGGCTGAATAGTAACTGGAAAGAACTGGAAAGGAAGGCTCAGGACAGAGTTGGATGGAGAATGCTGGTGAGCGGCCTATGCTCCTCGACGAGGGGTAACAGGCGTAAGTAAGTAAGTAAGTCATTTGTGCTGACACAAGAAAACACATCTTTATTCAGCGTTTCATAGTTTTTATATTTCGAAGGTATCAACAGTCACGTCAAATTTATTTGCGAAATAAACTTTTATGCGACGTAACAAAATGCGAACAGTAAATAATAATAACAATAATCATGAAAAAAGTTTATTCTAATTTTACAGTATGTGTATAATCAGAATAGAGGTAAAACGTCAATCAACAATAAACGTCCTTCTTGACATGGAATGTTCAAATATGTTCAAAAGATTGAATGAAATAACATTACACAGTAAATAATGAGTTTGACTTCTAAATAAACTTAAGTTTTTCAAACATTGTACATGATCCCAGGAATTTTTACCACTGCCTACCATTAATAAATAGTTTTTTTGAATCCGTGCAGAGATTTCGTCAGACACCAACCCATTAGGGCTGATCAAACTTCCAAGATAAGTGAAGTTGTCGACGCGTTCGACTACTTCACTCCCTATCCTCAGTTCAGGTGTTGACGCAGGCCAGTCCTGGAGTAACAATTTACATTTAGAGGGGGAGAAACGCATCCCAGGCATTCTTGCATTGTTGCTCAGTTCTAACAGAAGACTGCATTTTGTCAGCGTCTTCACCAAACAGAAATATGTCATCCGCGCATTCTATGTCGATAAGTGGACCTCCTGATAGGAGATCAATTCCTGAAAATTCAGACGACGAGTGTGTTATACCCAGCGGTAGGTCTATGATGAAGTTAAACAGAAAAGGAGATAATGGACAGCCTTGTCGGACACCACTTGAGGTTGTAAAGTCAGATGACAGTTCGCCATAAGCTCTCACTCGACTGGTAGTGTTCGAGTAAAGAGCCTTCTCAAGGTTTATGTACTTCTGAGGTACACTTTTTAATGACAGACACTGCCACGGAACATATCGGTCTACAGAGTCAAATGCTGCTTTCAAGTCAAGAAGAACTATCATTGTCTGACTCCGATAAGGATGTCTGTGTTCCAAAACCTGGCGAATTGTGAATATGTGGTCGATGCAGCCACGACCAGATCTGAAGCCAGCCTGATTTCCTCGTGTTTGCAGTTCACGAGGCTTAGTTAGGCGCCCGATAATTATTGAGGCTAGTATTTTAGATGCTATATTAGTCAAATTAATCCCTCTATGGTTATCACAGGATGATTTTGACCCCTTCTTATATATTAGGACAATCAGAGATTGTGACCAGTCAGATGAGATTACGTTCAGTTGCCAGATTTAAGCTAAAATGTTAGTCAACCTAATCGTTGAAATTGAACCACCGTATTTAAAGACCTCTGTAGCCAATCCATCTGGACCAGCCGCTCTCATAGGTTTCAGATTAGCTATAGCCTTTTGAACTTCAGGTAGGGTCGAGGGGCCTACTTCAATGTTCCATTCAGACTGTCTGCGAATGGTGCGTAGTTGTGAAGTAGCTGAAGGCCATCTAAACTGTTCTCTAAAGCGTCCCACCCATCTTTCTAAACGTCTGTGCAGATAGCAGATAAGAGTGTTGTCTTTTCCCGAGATTGTCTCACTTACACCTGACTTCTTAATCCCAGTTTCTTTTATTAGTCTGAAGAGTTGTTTGGTGTTGCCTAAACGCTCTGCCTTTTCAATTTTTTTGCTTTCATTGCTCACTACTGCTCACGATCATTCGTAGACTTTTGGTTGACCTAGATCTGATTTGCTTTCGCTCTTCATCGTGTTTAGAGCCTGATGAAATGAGTTTACAGGAATCCATCAGTGCAATAGACTTGGAGGAAATCCATTGGTTTTTTGTAAGCATTCGGTTGAAATTACTAATAGACGTTACTGCTGTTTCTACAGCTGTTCGTATATCTTTTCAAGCAACATTTGAGTCATCCTCGTTTACAGAACTGCCTAGATGTGAACTCAGTTGTTCCCGGATGGATAGATAGATAATCTGTCAGGTGTCAGATGAGTTATATATTCGCCTAAGTGATATGCCTACACCTGCAAGTCCACGAGAACTAGCCATCGGGTCGCCAGATACACGGAGGGTGTATTTCGTTGGCTGTCCATTTTGGCAAGGCGAGGTCAAGTGAATGACCACACTAGGATCCTGTATGCGTGTTTCGGAGACACAGCATACATCAATGGTACGAGATTCTAGGGTTTTAGCTAAGGAGGCCTGTTGACCGATTTGACATAGGGTACGTACGTTGAAGGCTCCAATGTGTAGTTTGGAGTGTGGTTTTAGTAGACTTGGGACAGTGTTTTGAGCACTAGAAACGTTGGCTATAGTGACACTTGATTAGGAAGCGGAAAGAGTAAGTTTAGTGTTGAAAGTCGAGGTGGGAGGAATAATAGGGATTGAAGAGGGAGATTGATTATGAATACAGTGATCTTGAGTGTTGTTAGAGGTATGAGGGCAGTTATCACTTCCCGGTTGCCCACACCGTGGAAGGGTTTTTCTAGGGGTACCTGAAAAGGAAATTGGATTAAAAGTGGTTTTAATGACCTGAGAGCGTGACCGCAGTGCCCAAGGAACAACTGCTTGAGGTCGGTCACACACGGCCTTCTTGTGGGTAGTTTTTGTGTTAGCTCCGTTCATCAAAAAAAACCTTACCGCCGGAGACGGATATCCGTAGGATAAGGCGAGGTGTTCATTTTTAGGGTCGACCTTTTCCATCCCCACCCCTCCTTGTGGGAAGGCAGCATCGCTGTCATGCTGGTTGTCTCAAAGAAACACCTTACTGCTGTCACACTTCTGTACAGTCAGCAGTACGACTTCGCCTTCGGACCTTGGGTTTGCCGCAATTAGACTTACCGCTTCTTCAACCGACCTGCCTGGCATGGTAGGACCTCGAGGAACGATTGTTCCAGCCAGTATAGCTTGATTGGTTCATCACGATCAGCGATTCCGACCACTAGTAAGTAACTAGTATTTGACCACAAATGTTTCGATTAGTTCATCACGATCGGTAAGCTCGATCACCACGTCTAGGTAGCAGCAACAATCGGGTTAATAAATAAACATACTTTTAAGTTTCCAGTTCATATATATATATATATATATATATATATATATATATATATATATATATATATATATTCGATAATGTTATATTATATTTTTCTGTATTTTAACTTTAATTTTTAGGCGTCGAATTAAACGATTGAAACGCGCTCAAGAAGAATCAACTGAAATCATCAATGGACTCCGTCAACGTTTACTTGATTCTGGTCAGATTAGACGTAAATTACAAAATGAATTATGGCATAGTATTGATGAAAATACTTCTCTGTGTGAACAGATCAGTGAACTTCGTAAACAACTTGCTGATCTACGTAGTGAAAAAGTTTCTGATAATTTAAAAGCAAATAATGTGGAACTGAAAATCAAACAGTCTAGTCCATCACTCACAGGTTTGTTGTATATGCTTACTATCTCTTTTTCTACCCATATTTTTATTGTTGTTTAAATTCATTCGATATAATTGCTTGGAGCTATTGTTATGTCTTGAAATACTAATCAATATTGTACGCTGAAAACTCCGCCTGTAGCTCTTCTAGAGTTACTGCCGGTCCCAAGCCCGGGTAAAGGAGGAGGGTTGGGCATGGGGTTAGCGACCCCATCCCGTAGAAAAGCTAATTCGCTAAAAAACGCTAACCAGAAAAAATAATTCAAACCATTTAAACTCTGCCCTGGGAGTTGAAGGAATAATTATGACGTCTCATGATGAAAGCCGAAGTTCTTCGGAGGTCACGAGACCGATGCACCTTCTAACAACCAGAGCAACACTCTTTATAGGTACATGGAACGTCCGGACAATGTGGGAAACAGGAAAGACCAGCCAAATAGCAATGGAAATGAGGAGATACAACTTGGCAGCACTCGGAATCAGCGAAACCCATTGGACACAAACTGGACAACAAAGGCTAGGTACAGGAGAGATGCTGCTGTACTCCGGTCACGAAGGGGAAAATGCTCCACACACTCAGGGAGTTGCTCTAATGCTGTCCAGAGAAGCACGAAATGCACTTGTGGGATGGGAATCTCATGGACCCAGGATAACCAAAGCAACATTCAGAACAAAGAAGCAAGGGATCACAATGAATGTTATCCAATGTTATGCACCCACCAATGATAGCAACGACGATGATAAAGATCAGTTCTATGAAAGGCTGCAATCAATTATAGCGAAGTGCTCACGAAATGACCTCACCATCCTGATGGGAGATCTAAATGCTAAAGTTGGAGTGGACAACACAGGATATGAAGATATAATCGGACGACATGGACTAGGAGAAAGAAATGAAAATGGGGAGAGACTTGCAAACCTATGTGCTTTCAACAAATTGGTTATAGGCGGCACAATATTCCCACACAAACGCATACACAAAGCTACATGGATCTCACCGGACAACACCACAGAGAACCAGATAGATCACATCTGTATCAACAAAAAATTCCGAAGATCAATGGAAGATGTGAGAACCCGGAGAGGAGCTGACATAGCTTCAGATCACCACCTGGTTGTGGCCAAGATGAGACTGAAGCTAAAGAAAGACTGGACAACTGGACAAACAGCACTACAAAGGTATAATACAGCCTTCCTTCGAGATGCTGACAAGCTCCAGGAATTCAAGATAACTCTCAACAATAGGTTCCAAGCTCTACAGGATCTACTGAAAGAACAAGAAACTACTTTGGAGGACAACTGGAAAGGGATAAAAGAAGCACTAACTTCAACGTGTCAGGAGGTTCTTGGTCCTAAGAAGCATCATCACAAGGAATGGATCTCTCTGGCAACCCTGGACAAAATTCAAGAAAGGAAGAACAAGAGACTAGCAATTAACAACAGCCGAACACGAGCAGAGAAAGTCAAAGCACAAGCAGACTACGCAGAAGCAAACAGAGAAGTGAAGAAAAGCATTAAAGCCGACAAGCAGAAATACATGGGAGAACTAGCAACGACGGCGGAAAAAGCTGCAAGAGAAGGGAATATGAAACGACCATATGATACAACGAAGAAATTGGCAGGAAGATATAGCAAACCAGAGAGACCAGTCAAGGACAAAGAAGGAAAGACAATCACCGAGATTCAAGAACAGAGGAAAGATAGGCAGAATACTTCGAGGAACTGCTGAATAGACCAGCCCCATTGAATCCACCGAACATCGAAGCAGCCCACACAGACCTTCCAATAGATGTCACTCCACCAACGATCGAAGAAGTCAAGATGGCCATCAGACAAATCAAAAGTGGGAAGGCGGCAGGACCTGACAATATACCAGCAGAAGCACTGAAGTCAGACATTGAAATAACTGCAAACATGCTTCACCTTCTATTCAAAAAGATTTGGGAAGAGGAACAAGTGCCAATGGACTGGAAAGAAGGATATCTCATCAAGATACCAAAGAAAGGAGATCTGAGCCTATGTGAGAACTATAGAGGTATCAGTTTGTTATCAGTACCAGGAAAAGTTTTCAACAGAGTGCTGCTGAATCGGATGAAAGACGCAGTAGACGCCGAACTTAGGGATCATCAGGCTGGATTCCGTAAGGATCGGTCGTGCACAGACCAGATTGCGACACTACGGATCATCGTTGAACAATCAGTTGAGTGGAACTCATCACTATACGTCAACTTTATTGACTATGAGAAGGCGTTTGACAGCGTGGACAGGAGAACATTGTGGAAACTTCTTCGACACTATGGAGTTCCTCAGAAGATTGTCAACATTATCCAAAACTCATACGATGGACTACAGTGCAAAGTCATGCATGGAGGACAGCTGACAGATGCATTTCCAGTAAGGACCAGAGTCAGACAAAACTGTCTACTCTCCCCATTTCTCTTCCTTCTAGTGATTGACTGGATTATGAAGAATTCGACATCTGAAGGGAAATACGGAATACAATGGACAGCTCAGAATCAATTAGATGATTTGGACTTCGCAGATGACCTAGCCCTCCTCTCTCATACACACGTTCAAATGCAGATGAAGACAGCAAATGTAGCAGCAGCCTCTGCATCGATAGGTCTCCACATTCACAAAGGAAAAAGCAAGATTCTCAAATGCAACACGGAGAACACCGACCCAATCACACTTGACGGCGAAACTCTGGAAGAGGTGGAAACATTCAAGTACCTGGGAAGCATCGTTGATAAACAAGGAGGATCGGATGCAGATGTAAAGGCGAGGATTGGCAAAGCAAGGGCAGCATTTCTACAATTGAAGAACATATGGAACTCAAAACAACTCTCAACCAATTTCAAAGTCAGAATCTTTAATACGAACGTCAAGACAGTCCTACTGTATGGAGCTGAAACGTGGAGAACTACTACAGCCATCATCAGGAAGGTACAAGTATTTATAAACAGTTGTCTACGCAAAATACTCAACATCCATTGGCCGGATACTATCAGCAACAGCGTTTTATGGGAGAGGACAAACCAGCTTCCAGCTGAAGAGGAAATAAGGAAAAGACGTTGGAAGTGGATCGGACATACATTAAGGAAATCACCAATGTGCATCACGACTCAATCCCTAACTTGGAATCCGTAAGGGAAGCGGAAAAGAGGAAGGCCAAAGAACACACTACGCCGGGAAATAGAAGCCGATATGAAAAGGCTGAATAGTAACTGGAAAGAACTGGAAAGGAAGGCTCAGGACAGAGTTGGATGGAGAATGCTGGTGAGCGGCCTATGCTCCTCGACGAAGGGTAATAGGCGTAAGTAAGTAAGTAAGTAATTGTACGCTGAAGCCACTAACCAGAATTCTGATTTTAACTTTATCTATTCTGTGCTTAATATTTCTTCTATAGCTCAGCATCCTAGACTTGAGGGATTACACTTCTGACCTGCATATTTAATCTTGAGCCAATGAAAACTGAGCTCCTATTGATCTGGTACCCATAAGTCCATCTCTGTTTCCTTCCTTGAGTCCAAAGAGAAGTTAACAGGCAGCCTCTATTACTACTTTTGTTTTTCAAGAGCATGTGAACTTATTTTCAGACACATTGGATCACATTTCACCGTAAAATGAAAAATCACAGTTATACATAAACAAGCCAGCGGCTGTGAAAAGTCGATTATTAATAGAATAGAAATGATAAGCATTATAGTAATATTTGATGAGTTGAATGGAATCCTTTTGAGAAATGAAATGTAATAAACACAATAATCCAGTTACTTGGTTGTTATAAAATAAGAATACACATAATAGTAATAATTATAGTAATGGCTATAAAAAGTCCGAAAACTAGTTCCAAAACCCCAACTTTTATATTATTCATCCCACTGTAGCACGCATTTTCTTACAATACGTTTAAACCGTTTCTGTATTATCTTACTTAAACTTTTTGTTGAGCAGTTCATCGGTTTCATATCGTGACTGTTGTTTTTCTCAAAATAAACTTGCCCGTATCAACTAAAATGAAGTAGTTAACATCTCACTAGTTACAGATTGTAACCATCTCTCATCACCCAGTTGACTCATTATCACTTTATCGCTTCTTTTTAATCATTATGATAAATTATAGAGTATCTTAAATAAAGAGTATCGACAAATCTGCTATTTAGTGTTTACTTAAGATAGAAAATCCTTGTTGTAACTTTTTATTTGGATACGACATGTATAGTTCCATCACATATAACTGTTACGTCAAAAATGTTTAATGTTAGTTTTATTTCACAAATATGGAGAAATAATAACAACTGTATTACTCATAGAATGTAGGTTTTACTTCTTACTTACACCTGTTACTTGTAGAGGAGCATAAGCGATGACTAGGATTCTCTGTCAAACATTATCCTCGCTTCTCCTTTCTGGTTGTTTCCAATTCCTATTCAGTCTTTTGATGTCTGCCTCCAATACCTGGCACAGTGTGTTTCTTCGTCTTCCTCTGTTCCTTTTCTATTCACAATTCCGATCTACGGCTTGCCTCTTGATACAGTTTGTTGATTTCCGTAATGTGTGTCCTATCCACCTCGAGTGTCTCTTCCTAACTTCCTCTTCAGCTGGGAGGTGGTTTATTCTCTCACACAGTGGTGGTATCTGATCAATGGATCTGGAGTATCTTGCTTTGACAATGGTTTATAAATACCTATACTTTTTTGATGATATTTGAAGTAGTTTTCCAAGTTTCAGCTCCGTACAGTGGAACTGTCTGTGTTGTGCTTTTAAGCCGACTTTTTATCACGTGATTTATTCGCCAATCAAAATACGATTTATTCAATCTTAGAACTGTGCTAAACCAGTGATGTTTGACTGGTATGAGCAGCCTACCTCCTTATTGGTCCTCTGTCCGCCTAGCCCATCTAGCTGAGTTCAGAAAACCAATGACAGCTTCCACTATGCCATTCATTTATTTCAAGCATACTTGGTTTATATACCAGACAAACAGACCACATCACACCATAAAATGGGAAATAACAATTGTACAGGATCAAGCCAAAATGTGGCTGTGAACGTGGGGAACGGTAATTAATAAACTGGACATAACTTAAGACCAGTAAATCGTATAATAATAATCTATAGGTCAAAATGAAGCTTATAATAAGAGGAATATAGATATACATAATCTAGTTACTGAACAGTTATACAATAAGAATATATATATATATATATATATTGTTCAAAGAGAGGTTAAAGCTTAGAATAGTTGTCTTATTATTTTATCAAGTTTTATCAACATTAACATAACGTCTAAACGATTACTTCGTTAGTGAATTTCAGTAACCCTTCAACAATCTGGTTTCTGAACTTTTTCTACTACTAACTCTGTTCTCTATAGAACACAAACTTTTTAGTGTTACTACAGCAGCTAATGTTTATGTTTTCTCCTTCGCAGTCTTATGATAAATGTTGCTACAGTGCATTAGACTTCCAATTTTAGTATATTCTGACTAAATAAGAATGGGGAAGGAATAGACAATTCTCCACTCTTCGTTTAAATACCCTCGTCATAAGTTGTCATTGAGTTCTTTGTACTGTCGGTAAATTTAAACGAGATGTTCTCATGTATTGCTAGAGGTATGATGACAGTTGTCACTACTCTCTGGTTGGCCACACCAATAAATTATCTTTCTCCTTGGGGGACCTGAAAAAGAAATTGTGTTAATGGTAGTCTTAGAGTCCTGGGAGCGTGATTGCAGTGTAAGGGACAAATATTTAAGGGGGATCAAACTCAACCTTTTTATGATAAGTTTTTGAGATGTTCGATTCGTACTTCGTATATTACCACCGGAGATGAAAATCTATAAAGTTGAAATAAAGTTTATCATTTTTATAAAACCTGTTGTGATTAGGTAGCATTGTTGATGTTGGTTATCAGATAGAAACACTTTACCACTTGCACACTCCTGTACAACTAACAGTACGACTTTGCCCTGATACTTTAAGTTGATGCTTTTATTCTTATCGTTTCCTGAACAATCTGCTTAGCATGATAGAACTTAAAAGAAACAATTGTTCCATCTAATATAACTTGGCTGAATCATTACAATATACACACCTGACACCGACCGTTGCTGCTATCTTGACGTGGTGGTCGGGCTTGCCTATCGTGATGATTCAATCGAGACGTTGTTGTACAGCTTGTAGGTGTTTTCTAGAAAACACAACAACATCAAGTTCACAATGGAACAATAGTCGGACAACAAGTTACCCGTCTTAGATGTATTAATCACCAGAACTGACACAGGAAAACTAGAGACTCAAGTGCACAGGAAGCCGACCCACACCGAACAAATTCTCAACTACAATAGCAACAACCCAAGAACTCACAAAATCAACTGTGTAAAAACTTTGTTCAAGAGGGCGAGAACACACTGCAATACAATCACAGCACGAAAAAATGAAGAAAAACACCTGAAAACCATTCTTCAAAAGAACGGCTATCCAATCAATTTCGTCAGAAACGAAATCAAGTATGAAAATCAACAAAAGGATCACCCTACCATACATAAAGGGCATATCGGAAACGACAACAAGGCTAATAATTATGTCGTTGAGTATCGTCTGTTGTCCATCGTATTCCTACTGTCAATAACGAAACGTTTTGTTAGAAAATTATGGAGTCACAGGGAAATGAATCTACAATTCGCCCAATAAATATACTATCGTTACTAAAAGTTTATACGCCTGCCTTACCTCAGTTCAAAATACCCATGAACACACAGTCGATTTCCTTAGTTGCTTGTTTCCCTTTCCGTTAGAAATATTTGTACAGAAACTGTCTTAAATTCACCAGAAAATTTATTAACATAGTTCGAGTATTTATTGGATAAGGTGTCTAATATGTAGTGTAAATATAATCTTTCCAAATAATTATATTTCAGTCACTCATTATTATCTATTCATTACTCTTTACACAGAAAGTGCCAAGCTTGATATTGAGAACAGAGACCCTCAAAAATTAAACAGTAACAAAGTTAAATACTGTACTAATTCTCTTAAAGAAACTTCCGTGGAATTGTCGAAATCTGTTCACAAAGTGGACTGTCCTGGTACTGGTATTCAGAGCAAAGATGTACCCCAAAATTGTGCTACTTCATAGTACAAATGATACTACTCACCATCATCTTCGGTATACAATATCCACATCGAGTGTAATTTTGGAATCAACATGTGCACTTTGCAATTCATGCATATATTTAGCCAGATAGAAATAAAATTTAATCATTTGCTTTCAACATCATTTAGTTATTTTTTTGTTATATTGAACAAATGGTAAATACACTATCTAATTTCCATGTTGAACAAGTTAAAACAATGCGCTTGTTATTTCTACCAAAAAACAAAATATATACATTTTCTGACTATTCCAGGCTGCGTATCACTTCTCTACATCAGTAGATATCTTTGATCCCTAGGCGTATTGGTTCTAAGTACAATCCAGTATTTTATTTGGAATAGCTCTATTTCAAACATGTCATAATTCATCCTCGAGTTTATGCGTGATCTGGTCGTGACCAAGCAGATGTCATTGAAACCCACTATTGAAAGCATGAGTGAGAATGGCAATGTGTCCACCAGTAAATACTAAGAGTGAATCGTTACGTTTCGTACCGTAAATGACGCGAGCCAATTGCTTTTCTTGGTGAATGGCCTCAGGTTATGTGTAGTCTTTATCCATGTAAAATCACATCATTAGCGCACTGCAGAAACTTCTGGACTACCTTATTTCTAAGTGTGTCAAAAAATCTTGTTTTAGATTTGTTAATCAACTAATTATGCTTGTTAACCGCATGTAATTAAGCGCTTTCAGCATGGTGAAACTACAGTCAATTCATGCTGACTGTTCAAATTTAGTTTGAATTACTAGATTTATCAGGTCAACATACATTTAGCAATTAGACCGATACATTAGAGACACTTATTGAATTCATTTTTAGACAACCAAGCCAACCACATTAGTCAGCAACTTTCTTTTTAGGATATCTCATAAAATGGAGCATCAAGAATGGTCTTCTGGTCACTAAAAGAACTAAAACTCTTTAGCACATATCTCAAAATATTGAGGTACCTCCGAATCTGGCCTATGCAATCTATATATACTTTATTCACTGAATAGGTTTCAATGTTAAAGGGAATACGTACTATGTTACTTGTACAGGGTGAAGGAACAAACTTATTCGGTTGAACATAAGAAACAACTAAGACAGTCTTTAACACAGTGAGCTGTGATGACGGTGGGTTTTTAGGAAAACGACTAAGAGTACTGGAACAATAAATTAGGAGGCACTTAGTAATAATAGAAAACAATTAAATAAATTAATAATGAACGTCTTGCAAATAAGAAGTTCTGTACAAGGTTTTTGTTACCAGATAGACGCACAGTTTAACAAAACTGGACAAAATTTGAAGCTACCTAAATCTCAATAAAGAATAATAATAATATGAACAAAGTGAATATTGTACAAGTGGATTATAAGAAATCTGAATGAAAACAAATAATCATATAACAATTATTGAAATCAAATATTAAACGTATTATGATAGTGTATAAACAAGTGTTTTCGTGTTTTTTATTGAACTTGAGTAAATATTGTTGGGAAGATTTAACTGAAAAAGTTGTTAGCGTGAAAAAAATAATACGAAAAAGAAAGAAAGAGGACAAACAGTTGAAAAAAAACTACATAGTGCAGTACTATTTAATAAAAGGTGATTAGTTTTACAAAAAGGCAATTTACATAATAATATAAGCAAGTTCTCTGTGTAAAAATAGTTTGCTCTGCACAATTTCAACAATGTTTATAAATGAGCTACAACATTCTCCCAGCCTGATAATGGCTAATCACTGTATACAATACAATAACTTTGGGGAGAATCAAGTACAAATGAGGGCTTTAAAAAAACACATGATACAAAAACAATTCGCTTTAATATATGGGAAGGAGAGACAAATAGAAAAAAAACTAAGTTCGTGAACAATTGTGATAATCAAGTTGATAAACTAAGAAGAATGTACATTTTCTGGAAAAGGAGTTGAATAATACAGCCAGTTAGGATTAATCTGTGTGGAGATAATTATATAAAGCATCAGTTGTCTATATTTACAGATATAAACATCTGAAGATGTTCGCTGAACGAAACACTTCTAGATAATTGCGTAAGTTCGAAGCGGCAAAACACACAGACAGGTCGGCCATAAGATTCATTTCTTCTGAATTTATTGGTTAGACGAATGAACAGGAGTAGCTAAAGTTGTCATCGATGTCGAAGGATTATGGCTGTAAAAATAAAGAGACATTTGAATGGTTTAATAAAATTGATTTTTAAGATGATCAGTTGAAGAAATTACTGGGCTACAAGTACATAGGAATTTTTTGGTACAAAATAAACAGTCAACTTACTGAGGCGCACACCCTGCATTATTGGGGGGTATTTCTGAAGGTGATGTAGGTCGGGAAGGGTCGACTGCAGTCATACTAGAAACATTTCCAGATGCATTTTTGCTACTACTCGCGGTATTAGTGCGCTTCTTCTTGATAGCTGTACTTGTGGACTGTGGATTTAAATTTGTGTCGGCTATATATTATAAAATAAGGATTAGAAAAGATTAGCATGACATAAAAGGACAACTGAAAAACAGTGGAAATAAAAATGCGATACGCAGGTAAAATTTTAAAACGATATGTAAAGGTATGACTCGACATTTGATTGTTAATTGAAGTAGGGAAAGCTCAGTTACAGATTTTTGTTCCATAAACAGAGCTATGTTGTTTATTTAGCAACAACGTATATCGTTCAAATTTCTCGAGAAAAACAAATGACTGCACACAAACAAAAGCGAGAATGCAAACAATATTTACGACTGTAACAATAGTTTTAAAGTGTCGTTACGTCTAAAAAAAGCCCATTACAGTAGGGTTGAGATTATTGTTTCCCAACCAATCCAATCGAAATTTATCACCTCACTTGATCAGCCTTGGCAGAATTAGGTTTGGTGGATGTTTAGTCAGGCACTGTAAGGCAGTCGTATTTCTGATCACTACACTTGGTTTATCAAATGACAGGCAGATAAGAACGATAAAATCATCGAATAAACAGGGGGTACTATATCGATACAATGATGGCTTTTAAAATCACTGAATTTCATCTAACTTATTAACCCCAATGTTAAGAAGACTGGAAGATAACGAATCAGTTTTGTTAGCTGAACTAACGATCTGAAAATGTCTTTCTTCCTATCGATCACGCCTACTAAACACCCATTAAGTCCTTCAAGACCACTAAGTAACTTCGCTACAAATGCGTAGTTTGATTTCCGTACACTTATTATTAGTTGATATATATTGATATCAACCATAGGTTTGTAAAATTAGTCTTGGCTTGTTTTTATTTTATGTAACGGATAGTAATAGGGAATGGGAATTAAAAGATAACCAAATGAAGTAGGTTTGCAATATGGAAAATGATATTTGAAAGCTATTTTTAGCCACTAAACAATGGCTCCGCATATTTATTTCAGAAATTGTCGTAATATACATATCGATTCCTAATTATTTTTAAGATCAACTGTGTCGAGTAAAGTACACTAGTTAAAGAGATATGAACAGAAGAGGACAGAACTGACATGATTCAAGATCTCATCTTTTTGTGCACAACAGAATACAAATGAAAAAAAACTAGGGGTTATGTGTCCATAAAATGTTTGGAAAGTCTATTTATTCTATCAAATGACCCCTGAAATTAGACTGGATATAGTTCAACTTATGTTTTCGATTATTAAGATCTATACTTACATGATTAGTGTTCACCAACAGATTTGTCAGTTATTCATCCAAGTATTTCCAAAGACTAAACAACTTACTTCATTTTTAACAATTACAATCTGTGATCCGTTAATTTGGTTTGATTACTTAACACAAATTTCTGAATCTTTAATTAATTACATCATATGTTTACTTGTTTTAATTTGTTTAAGATATATATACTTAAACATTTATAACTAATTTATCTGAATACATCCTATTATTTCATCATTGTTAAACCATCCAGTTAACTGATTCAATCATTTGATCAGTATTGATTGAACTATGAAACCTACATAATGAAGTCATAAAGAAGAGATGACAATTTATGTTTTAATAACTATCGGAAAAACACATTTTTAAAGTTTTTTGTTAATTAAGTTACTTGGATACCACACACAGGGGTTTATGTGCTGGAAACCTCTTACCATTAGTAAGCTTTTAGTGGTTATCTGTATTACAAATTCTCAGGATCTAGATTTGCAGGTTTTCTTAACTGATAAAATTAAACGTTTCTCAATATATAATACAACTACAGAAAGATGGCAAAACTTTGACTAAATAAAGATAAAATAATTTCTTGCTTACGAAGAGAGGAGTCAGAATCTCGGAGTCTTTTGCCACGACCCCTACCTCCATATCCTACACGTCCAGTTGTTGGTACCACCGTATTACCTTGTACTGGAGCAGGATTGGAATTGCTGACAGCTTGAGGATTTGTAGAGTGACTAACTCCATCATGTCCTGGAGCATTATCAGTGTTGTCAGGATCTAGACTTGATCGATAGGCATGCAGACTAGCCCATTCACTGCCGACAGGATTTGGGAAAATCTAATAACAAAAAATGAAAATTTAAAAAAAAGTACAGAAATCATAACCAAGTCAAAAAACCCAATTTACTGTGACTAAAGAGACACACCTAAGTTACTGGATAAATACTAATATTATACGTCAAACTTTTTACCCCGTTAAGGGTGTACGAAAAAAAGTCAGAGCTACGAAAGAAACAGTATTTAGACAATTCATATTTGTATCAGGTCTTCGTTTACGATTAACTGAAAAAATCGTTCCCCAAGGTGTGTTCTGATAGACACATATACATATTTAAAAGAAATAAATTATAAGATTCAGGTTTTGTAGGTTAATTTTCATCAAATGAAAGTAAGAGCTGGATTATTATTCTCAGTTCTGGTTAATCACATTCTCATTAGGGGTTCGAATGTAAACATTACGTATTCAAGTAGTCTGGTAATCAATCATAATAAAACGTAAATTAACACACATCATTATTTTTGCAATGAGAAACACTTCACATAATTAGGTTATGAATCAACTCTTGAAACTTACTCGACGGAGATATTCATATATGCTTTTCTTGTCTTGTCTGAGAAGCTTATTTGAGAATTCAGCGACAACTTCAAGGAAAAGCAAATTGCTTGGGATACCAGGGGCTTGACCTGTTGCAGCTGCCGTGGAAGCAGCTCGGGAAACACAAAATTGTATCCCTTCAGAGTGGAAGGCAACCATAGATTCTCGTATTTTCATTAGGTCGAGACCGAAACTGAGATTCAGACGCCTAGCAAGTTCCTTTACAGCTTGAAGACCTTCAGACCCACGTTCAACACAATTCTGTGAGCGAGAAAACAAACAATCCATCAATTCATTATAAAATCGAATGTAGACAGGAATGCATGATCTACAAATTTCTTTTAATGACAAAAATCAAAAATATTCTGTAATGCACTGAATGCAATCCTAAGCTTTAGTCAGTCTATTTAGGAAAAGCTAAAGTAAATGTTATGAGCATTTGATTATGAAACTTTTTTTCAAAAACATTCAACGTGCAGTGCAGCAACCAAATAGGTCATGCTTATATTAGCGGTCAGAACGTTTGGTAGAAGGGTGAACCTTTATTGATAGGAACTGTTCAGATGTGTAATGTTTGTTCAGTCATTGTCTTTTTAGTCCTATAGTGTTGGATATAATAGGAATAAACTGGGAAAAGGCTAGTGACAAGCAGAAAAAGACAGCAGTCAGTAATTCAAGGAAGTGTAGAGGTCATTTGGAAGGGAAATTCAAAAATATAAGGCATTGATTAAATGAGGTCAGGAGACAGATAAGATTGTGTGATAATTTCAGAGGTTATGAAGGGTTAACATAAGTTAAGAGAATTTAGTGAATGAAAATGTATGACTGAAGGGATAGTTTTGGTGTACATAAAATAGGAATTTGTTAAGAGAAGACCACATAACAGAATAAACACTGATAAAATAATGATAATAACAAAAATAATTTACTGTCTCTTTCTAGATACATAAATCAGGTTTGAGTTGTTTTTTTATTGCTATTGCTTCGGCGAATCGAAGAGACGCTGAGATGTTTGTCTGCTAATAATTTTGAAGATTGGTGGAATATCAATGGTATGCCTGGTGTCATGTGAATATCGAGCAATCGCACTCTTTAAAGAACAAAATATGGCAGCTACTAGCATAATAACATAGATTTATGAATCTCGTTTGAAGAAACAAAAGTAAAAGTAAACAGTTCGATTGGGAATAAACACTATCTCAACTTACATTGGAAGCTGCTTCTACTTGTAGATAACATAATTCTAAACAATGCGCAATCATACGAGCGGTGTGCACGCGATTGATTTCACGAGCTTTGGCTAGTGTGGATTTCATAATATCACCAAAATCATTGAAAGACCGAATATAATATTTATAGATCGGAGCAGCTGCTCGTATAGGAATCAAATTATATATTACTAGTTTAAAAAATGCAGCTAGTTGTGTACGCCTTTCGTGAAGCGATTCAAATTTGACATTTTCATCATCCTCTTCCTATGATAAAAATAGAAACAATTACATTTTTAATTAAAATTCAACTATTGAAAAGTAGTAGGAACAATTTAAATTTGAGATATCTTAAAAACATACATCCCTGTTTTAAAATTCTCTATGTTATACGAATGGATAAAATCAGCTTATTCTATATCATGACGGCATAAATTATCCAGGGTGATAAGTGTCACAACGGAGAGAACATTGAAGACATTGAAACTATTTCACAAATCATCATTGTTATTATTTATATTTTTCTTGCATTGTAGGCTCCTGTTGGGCTTGTCAACCATTGCTATACGATTTATTACACCAGTTACTTATGAATTGTTTGTTCTTTTTTAATGCTTATGATATAGTTGTAAAAAATATAAATTATGACTACATATTAGAGGTGCGTTGCAGGCTGATGATACATGTACGTAAACTAATGAGTGTTTGAGATGGATATCAGTCAGTCAGCTACAACGTAGGACCAGGCACACATATGCTTCGGTCCACGTCGTCATACCTCATTAGCACAACAAGATGAACACCGAATTCATAGTAGTTAATTTAATGGTGATAATATATAAAAGAAAGATTGTATATAAGAATATAGCACAGGAAGAAAGATAGATATGAAGCAATTTTAATCTGAAGGTTTAAGGGAAGATAAAGAGTGTATACACCTAAGTCATTGTGATCGATTCTGAGCAATGTCACTCAGAGACTCGAAGCATTGGTTACGATAGTCACGAGGACCCCAACCAATTAGTCTGCATCTATCAACATGGCTCTGATGCCATATTTTGGTTTGGCCGCTCCGAACTCTTCCAACCATCGCCAATACTAGTCACCATAGCGCGAGGTGAGAGCCGAAATAGAGAGAAATTATAATCACGATTCTGACTGATCAAACTCTTCTAAATTTTTTATTAATATTTATTGATAACAGTAATAATGAATATTTACATATTTTGAACCCGAGGGGTGGGGTTAAAGAAGGTCGACCTTAAAAATGCACATTTCTCCGGTAATTGATAATCATCCTCATGCCTCTAACAACACTCAAGATCACTGTATTCATAATCAATCTTCCTCTTCAATCCCTATTATTCCTCCCACCTCGACTTTCAACACTAAACTTACTCTTTCCGCTTCCTAATCAAGTGTCACTATAGCCAACGTTTCTAGTGCTCAAAACACTGTCCCAAGTCTACTAAAACCACACTCCAAACTACACATTGGAGCCTTCAACGTACGTACCCTATGTCAAATCGGTCAACAGGCCTTCCCTAATCTGAAACCTATGAGAGCGGCTGGTCCAGATGGATTGGCTACAGAGGTCTTTAAATACGGTGGTTCAATTTCAACGATTAGGTTGACTAACATTTTAGCTTAAATCTGGCAACTGAACGTAATCTCATCTGACTGGTCACAATCTCTGATTGTCCTAATATATAAGAAGGGGTCAAAATCATCCTGTGATAACCATAGAGGGATTAATTTGACTAATATAGCATCTAAAATACTAGCCTCAATAATTATCGGGCGCCGAACTAAGCCTCGTGAACTGCAAACACGAGGAAATCAGGCTGGCTTCAGATCTGGTTGTGGCTGAATCGACCACATATTCACAATTCGTCAGGTTTTGGAACACAGACATCCTTATCGGAGTCAGACAATGATAGTTTCAATATACCATTTGCAGATAACTACAGCTACGAAAAAATTGATGGTATAGAGATCTGAATTTAGAAAGAAATGCTACAAACAACTAGTTATAATATTAGAAACTTACATCGTCATCATCGACAAAAACCCGTTGCTCCAGAAAATTGGTCAACTTGAGTTCTAGATCTTTGTCAGCTGTATAAATGATAGATTTCAGATTTGGCAAATGAACGGAAAGATGACGCGAAAAAACAACTAGCAAATCACAAATGGACAGAAATGATTCTGATGCTAACCGTTTGCATGAATGATCTAAGTAGCCAATACATACATCCATATACAGATTTAACTGTCTTCGTAGTTTGTTCAAATCCGTCTGTAAACCGAAACAATGTAACACAAATATCAATAAAAAAGTAGGGATGGACAGTTACTAGTAACTTAAATCTGATAAATTCAAAGACCGTAGCTGAGCGTTTTTTTTAATCAAACGAATTTCCATAGATATGATTATAAAAAAAGTAGATGATAACGAAGTAAAACTTCAAATATGTGCTTTGAATGAAGTTAGCAGATGGACGTCTGTACGCGCAAGAGTAAAATATTGTGAACGGTATAAAGAGCGAACGGTTATGAAAAGAGTCACTCTTAAAAACAACTTTCCTGAACAGAAAGGGAGTACAAGAAATCAGTTTGACGTCGATTGACCTCAAACTTTCTTTGCCTCTTCAAACAACAGTTGAGAGTTATCTCCCCTTTCTCGGAAAAACAAAACAGATCAACGTTGAACTAAGACATTATTCTGCACAACAGTTGGTCAAAAAACACATCTAAGAACTGTAATGAAACGGACAGGAGGAATACATGGAAACAATTTAAATTTACTTTGTCGACATCGGCCTCTCCTATTCTAGCAAGATTCCACAGTAGAGCTTTAGAGCAACAGCCAACAGCTTGAGCCACAATCTCACCGTTGGCATCATTTCCAGATTGTGCGATCCTGATGAGACTATCCCATAGATCCAATCCAGAAAGATCGTGACAACTAAAATTATTCGAAAAATAAAAGCAGTATGAAAATTTCCGAATAAATATAGGGTGTTGGATACGACTAAAGTACCTCCGGATGAAAATACCACAAATTTTTCCAGTCAATTTCATAAGCATAATCAGCCGTTTCAGACTTCTAGAATTTTACAATAAGATCTTTCTGTTTCATACAACAGTATTTTAAAGAAAAAGCGTGACTCCAAACGTTAACTTTAGAGAAATTTTGTCACACATTAGATTGTGGTTTATTACGAAAAGATTATTTGCAATGGATTTGATTAATGTCGAAATTCTGAACTAGTTTTGTGTAATGGCAATGATGTGCGATGAAATATGAAGTATAGAGAAATAAGAAAATAATCTTAATATAAAAAGAACGAATAAAAACGAATATCCAGCAATCCCGAAATCAGTTAACTCAAAATAAGTATTGTGTCAAGCATGATGTTCATAGCATTTGAGGATTGATAACACATGCTTCTCTATTTAACTTAGTTATGACAGTTTTCTCAAGGTCAGGAAACGATGAGATCAAATAACTGTTTACGGAATATTGCAGCAGTAAGTACGATACTTCGGAATTCTATGATGATTACACAACGACGATGATGATTGAACAATTAAGCTCATTAGTGTAGATGACACAAAAATGTTGATTTCAAGGACGGCTAAACACAAGTTTCTTGTAGAATGTCAAGGAAAATTTATAATATTATTCAACATCGTATATATTACTGAATGAAAGAAGTTACAATCATCTGCAAAGACTATCAAACAGTGATAACTTTAACAACCATGATCGCGAGTGGCTCAAATAAGACGTTGAGTTGACAACATGAATCCTGCTCTACGTAGATTTGGAAAACGTGATATCACTAGCTCTCACAAGAAAATGTGTGGTTCAAAGATGGATACCCGACTAAGTATTAAGTTTGTAGACTGATGAATATATATGTTGCCAAAATCCCTGGAAAAACCAATTTGCTGAACTGACCTTGGATTATTTGAAAGCCCTAAAAATGTAACCAATACCATAAGAGTAAAATTCTTTAACCTGATCACAGTTTTAGTGAACACTACTTGGAAAATAATACCTAGTTAACTAAACTGAGCTTAAGAGATTCCGAATTATGGTGTGACACAAGTTAAGAAGGTAGGTATGAAGACATAAGTACAGGTAACTCCCAGGATCTATTAATGGACTATTATTCTATATATATATTCTTATTGTTTAACTATTGAGTAATTAGAATGTGTATATCTACATTCATCTTATTATAAGCTTCATTTTGATCTATGGATTATTATTATACGAATTAATGTCCCTACATTATATTCAGTTTATTGATTATTGTCTCCCATGTTCACAGTCAGATTGGGCTTGAACTTGTACAAATACTATTTTCTATTTTATGGTGTAATGTGGTTTGTCTGTCCGGTACATAACCGAATATGTTTGAAATAAATGATTCGCATAGCCGAAGCTGTAATTAGTGTTTTGGACTCAATTGGAAGGGCTAGGCGGACAAGGGACCAATAAGAGCACTAGACTGCTCATACTGGTCGAAGTCATTGGTTCGCACAGTGCTAAAATTGTAAAAGTCGTATTCCGATTGGTGGGTAATTCACGTGATAAAAAGCCAGACATAAAATCATAACGAATTGGCATACTGCATATTTTTATAAAGTCACAACAGTAAGTTAGATTAGGAGCTGGCGCTTCGAACCATCCATATGAATGAAAATACCAGCTTATATAAATTAAGTTTTCGTCCCAAGGGCTAAAGAGCATGACTACAAAAACGCTATGAAGTCACATATATTGTGATGTAGCTCTACGCAGATGACAAAATGTTAATCACCAATCCACAATTGGTATTTATGGGTTAATAATTGATTTTTTTGTTACTTCTGATGTCGCAACAACAGTCTTTGGAATAATAGTGGAAGTTAATTTTTCTAATCATTGCAAACAATATCAATAATTAAAAAAATCTCAATCATTTTAAATGGTGAACTGTAATTTCTGAGATCCAGTAAATTAACTATAATTGACAGTAACAACTTTATTGATAGCTGTCCACTTCTGATAAATATAACAAATCAGGATTACAGTATCATGTTTACAAAGAAATAATAAATTCATGACTCACGCGTAAAACGCATAGATTCGTTTCAATGCAGCTAGTAAGTGGAACTCATCATCTTGGTCGGGTTCCTCTCCCTAAAAGGTGGAGATATAACTAACATAAACGGGTGAAATTTATGCCACTTATTTTGGAAAAAAAATAAAAGGATATAAATATGTTAAGTAATCCAGTTAATAAGCTGCTAAACATAGAATTAAGATATACAGAATCAGAAGCTTTGGTGTATTTTTCGTAATTTACACTTAAAATCGATTCAAGATTTAAGACCCAAGAAGCTGCACTTAAGTGAATATGAGCAAACATGTATTAGCAGCAGTAGCGTATGTACTAAAATCGATTTGCCGGGATTTGGTTAATCCAACGCCTGATTGGGTCAAAACATCGTGGACAGAGTCCATAAAAGTTGTAACAACAAAACATATTTGTAAAGTACTTGACACGAAGACCAGAAATTTCTATGAAATCATGAAACCCGGTGCAGTGGCTAGTAAACTAACAACAATGCTAGCCGGATAATAAAATTTTGTTTTAGAACACTTATGCTTATACGAACACTTCTTAATAGCATCACTTTTTGATGTAAATTTATGATAACAAAGAAATACCCAAAATTTATGGCATAACAATGAGAATTTCTGTACGAAAATTAACCTGATCGTTAAAGTAGTTTAAGAATGCATCACGATAAAGATCCACCAAACGATCCAATAAAGTCCCACGGACAGTTTGACACTTAGCAGAAATGCTTAATTCGTCAATACACAAGGATTCGTAAACGCGCGAACAAGCCAATAACGTCTGAGGATCAGTATGACGTTCAACAATATCCTGGAAATGAAAAATGTTTTCTAATTAATACTTTTGACCAAACATTGTATGATAAAATTCTCAAACAATATGCTGTTAGATTACTAAATGCAACTGCTTAGTACTCTGAACTTTCTAACTTACGTTTAGCAAGAAAAACTAGTAAGTCAAGTGAATGCAGTTATAAAGTTATTATCCAATAATTAGGAGCGCTTATATTTCAGATGAAACTGCATTAATTAAGATTTTGTCAATGTGAGGTAATTACAGATCACTACTTAACAATTGTAGCGTGTAATAAATACATGACAAAAACCCCGTAGCTGACAGAATAAATAAAACTTGCCTTACAGTAAATTTTTAAAATGCTGTTTTAGTGATGAATTTAGTTAATCAGTATTGTATTGGTAAGTTTCAAAAGACTTAGGCCGATTGGAAAGAGTATGATGTCATGAAATGAAAGAGAGAGGGGTGGTTACAATGTTAATAAATCTAATATTAGTTTATGATTTAGTTTTATTAAATTAGCCTTGAAAAAAATTAGCTTGGTGGGAAAAGCAATCGACTTTTGACCACGATTGCGGGTCTGAGTCTCGATTTATATAGGCTTGAGCAAGGGAACATCAGGAATAGTCGTCCCGCTAAAGCCGAATCATTAATTTCATTACCCGGTAAGATATGAGATCCAAGTGATAGTGAGCCTGAAAAGCGTGAGAACTATTTGATTTCTTTCTAAGCGAGTAGAGGAGATTGTACGTGTGAAAACGAACAGTGAAACGTTTTTCGTTAAACATCATATTTATTGATAATTACTCAAGTGGATATGGAAATTAAAACTAAGAAATACCTTAAAACTTAAGTGATGATATTAAAATGAATAAACACAAACAAGATGAGTTATCAACATCAAAGTGAACGTACCTGAACAGCTTGTAGTAGGAGATCCAAATGTCTTTCATGTCGGCCTGTAGTGTAGAGTTCCATTTCCATGTGTCGTGGAATAGCAAGAAGGTTTGTAGCTCGTTCAGGAGATTCGCCATACTTAGCAAGCAGAGCTGGTATAGCAGTTATCATTGCTTCTGTCATGCGACTACGTTCTTCAGCCAGGGCACGAGCTTCACGAGAGGATGGTGCAGCGCTGTTCCCTGTGCCGGTGGTTGCACCACCTCGACTGCGTCCACCAGTTTCCGGAAAGCTCATACCAGTCAATAGGTTGGTGTTGGAATGTGAATGATGGCCACCAGTCTGTACACAATGAATAATTTACGAATTAATATAAACTGAATTTATGACTATTCACAAAATATTTCGTAGTATATAGTAAAGAAAATAAAAATTAACAGATAAAACATACTTGGGGGTGAACTAACCTGTCGTCCTACTGGTGATTCCCCCGTTGCTGCTTGACGAACACAACAAACCATAATTTCGATCAAACTTGTTTCTTGATTTGCATCCATAGGTTCCTCACCTCTACCTGGTTCTTCAAGAAGCAAATCTAGCATAGCTTCCCAATCGCGAAGCATTGGGCATAAATCCCATAAACTATCGACCAAATAAGTAGCATGTTCATGTAGCTAAAATGAATTAAGATGAATTATCAGCTACATAAATTACCAATCTGATTTAAAAACGATGAGCAAACCAAAATGAGAAATTACTTTTAACTAAGAAAACACACCTATATCTCTTTCATTTAAATAAATATAATAGTGTTGATTTAACTTGTTAACTGATTTTTGAAACGACTCTGTATTCTTCATTATTAAAGAAATAATAATTTTCTTTTTGACAGAATTGTTTGTATGAAATATCAAGAACTCAACCAATCTACTGACATTTCAATCATCTTAACCTAACTGCACACTTTAATTATAAGATAGCCTGACGAGATTTTATTAAAATTGAATAATCTAGATCCGGAATAATGCATTCATCTGAGTATTTTTACCATAGAAATCCATCAATGTTATTTGTTTAAATTACTTAAATTGTTTATTTTAACAACTAGAATGTTGATATTTAGTGACGTTAAAGTACGCTCTAAATGTGATTACCTATGGAAATTCAGATTTTAAACGCAGAGTTAGTCACTTCAAATAAAACATAAATATTACTCAAGAGGAAACACGAATTTATTGCAAGAAACTTTTTCTTTAAAAGTACGACTTTAAGCAATTAGTGACTTAATGATGAATAAAAACTAAGAAAAATGTGTTGCTTTTTTCCAACTTACTTCACTCTCGATGAAAAATTGCACGAGGTCACGAATAAGTGGTGTATTTTCACTACGTTTTTTACCTTTTCTGGTTCTAGTGGGAGGAGCATGTGAATCAACTTCAAAAAGTTTTAAAGTTAAAAATTCACCAGCTGCTTGTGCCAAAGGCCTGTGAGTGCAATAAACCAACTCATATATATTTTCACAATCCTTGTCTTCAAGTACTGAGTCACTATGTCTAAGAAACACAAACAGATGAAACTGATAAATAAACACTGTGATACTTTTGATAGAAGTAAACTAAAAAACAAATCTAGTAACACAATGCATTATTCCCGATTGTAAATAAAAACATTACGAAAAGAAACTAGCGGATAAATTGAAATCAAAAAAGTTATGTTAATTACAGAGAATTATGTGTAGAAACTAAGATACCTGGTGTAATACACAGATAACAGAGGATTTTTTTAGGTCTAGATTAGAAACATGAATACATTTGTGTGATAACCCCCCTAACATATACATAAACCTACTCGCTAAAGACTTTAATATAAACCAAACTAATTGTGAGGGCTAACGATACCACTTCGTAGCCCAGACCCAAGTAGGTAGGGTGGAGCTCTAACCTGGGGATCAGTGATTAAAAGTCGGACACCCTAACTACTAAGCCACTGCTCTCCTTAGTTGGAGAATGCTTGGAATTAGTATGGCTTAATGATTTTAGATAAGCAAAGAGAAATTTAGTGCCATATGACTTGGTGAATGTTATTTATAAACAAAAAAGATGGTATATCCAGTGTTAGAGACAGTTGTCTGTAATTATAAGTCAAATGTCCGACAAAAAGATTTGGACCTTTAGATCATATTTAGTTATTGATGGCAAAGATTTAAGCGGGCATGATGTGCTACGCCGCTAAAATATCAGCCGACCTGAAAACAAATCTTGAAGTAGGTATTGATGATCATCACATGTATGAGAAGGAATGGATAGGTGGTTTTCTTTCAACTGTTAAAACTGTATATGAGCGTAGGATGGGATCACCAGGTAAGTAGTAGTGAGGTTAAACGCAGAGTACTGGGGAATGATAGCTAATCAGTTGATGGGAATGCGAAACTACATTGACTGAGATGGTTAGGCCACATGTTCGAACTATGTATGGGATTACTACTGGAGTGCTGTACATGAGTCGTCCGGTCTATTCAGCAAAGATTCCGTTTCGTATTAGAAGAATCCCAAATAGTTTGTAATTCAATCCACAACGGTTGTCAAAAGAAAAAATACAAAATGTTGCGTGATAGCAGTAAGTTCTTAATAAAGTTAAGATATACAGATGACATAATCCTGTTTGAAAAAATGGTCAGTTACTGATAGTTAAATCTTAGCATCGAAAATGTACAGCAAATGGACTCTAGTATGTTAATTGAATTATAGTTCTGTATGATTTCAAGACTCACTTCAATATACACGAAACTAGTTTCACAGCTTGAACTGCCACTTCAGTCTCTTTATCCAGTGTCATATCCACAAGACGTGATTTAAAACGTGAAGTGAAAAGCTCCAAACTATTGATGAGAGCAGGATCCTCATACAAGGGTTGTAAAGCACGAAGGCACTGAAGACGAACATCTCCAATCCTGTCATAAAGTGTCCAACCAACATATTTTAAGTAACTATCATCTAAAAACATAGCTGGATAACGACGCATCCAAACGCCAATTTCTTGCATGCATATTGTTCGTATTTCTGCCTGACTATCTCTGGAGAAAAAAATACAAAAACAAAAATGATCTGTAAAGTAGGAAACCCTAAGTAGGATTTTTAAGAGTTAGGGTTATCACAAACCTGTCAAAAAGTTTGAGATCATCAACACTATATTATAGCATATGCACATTAATTCAGACCTGATCACAGGGTAAAATACCTTAGTATAAAATACTAATATTGTTGAATTTCGTAATAACTAAGACATGACGGAAAGCCTTAGTTGAATTAAGACAGCATGTAATACGTTTACTTGTCAGTTAACTTTATGGACCGATTTAGCATCTTATTCTAGGTATAGAGTTTTTTCGATTTCACAGGGAATTCAAGCAATGTCACATACCTAAATTGACAGCAGTAGAAGTAGTTGTACAAGCTAATTGAGTAAAGTACCTACTTTATTCAAAGATTCTGATGGTCTTACAAAACGAAAGAAATAATGCAAATGGACCGTTAACTGACAGCAAACAATGTTCCAGTATATTAGTGATATACAGAACGATGCTGACAAAACTAAGAATTTCCAAGTGTTTTTTTGGCAAAACAAATTAATTCAAAGCCACAAGAACATCAGACTATATTAACTCTAAATATACAACCTAATTTATCTATTTTTAGGTGATATATTTTGGGATTTCATTTGATCAAAATTTTCAATGAAAAAGAACGAGAGGAATAAAACAGTTCACTTTATAAAAAAACCAGATTCCTTACACTCAAATTTACCTGTATCGATGAACAAAAACACCTTTGAAAATGTATACAAGCATATTTTTGACTTCCTCCATATTCTCTTCTAATTCTTGTCGACGTTGCATTAGCACTTCAAGTCTGTCAGAAGCACGTCGGTTCTGAACTTTTGATCTTTCAGCTTCATACTGACGTTGTGTGTTATCTCTGTTGATACTGACATTTAGCGCAACATCAACAAGGGCGGTCATCATTTTCATAGCAGCCAATGTACTGGTATGTCTAAACGCCCGAACCTATAAAAGAAATGTTATAGTAGAAAACTTTATCCATATTCAACACTGACTGACAACTAAGTACGCACAAAGAAAAGGTAACCACACCATTTCACCTCGAATGGAAATGATTTTAGGTGCTTTTCTTAAGAACCTACAAATATTGACAACAAAAATACAATTCTATCAATACTACCAATTTTCATAACATCATTAGAACAATTGTTTAATAATTGCATCTGTATATAGGTAATAACTAAGAAGTATATCTTACTTGTGAGTCAGTAAGACCTGTCAATAAAGAGATCACTTGGTCAATCATGCATTGATCGTAAATTATGCTATATTGACACTGACGAATTAACACTTGGATGAATTCAACAAAATTTGAACGAAAGCGTTTCCAAACTGGGCTTGATTGTATAAGTGGGTATTCACCCGAGTCTTCATCAAACTCTTCAGTCATTCGACGAATAATATCAGCATGTGACAAGCGACTATACATCTCCGGTGTTACTTTTCCTATAATAAGAAAAAAGATATTCTAATCATTAAGTACCATACCTTTAAAGAGTAAGAATTAAAAGTGATTTAAAATCCATAACGTAAACGTTTAAACAAATGAAGTGATGACTTACATCACATAAATATGACAATGTAGTTGAGGTCAATAGGAATCCTAGACTACATTTATTTGGACGAAGCTTCGGTTCTATTTACATAGCTAAGGTTTCTATCATTCATTATATCTTTTTTCAGTTAGGTCTTGGAGCTATTTTTACCATCCGTAAAGTATTACAAGAGAAAACTCTTACCCATGAGGTATATCCATGTATTCTTCTAATTTAGTCATATATATATATATATATATATATGAAGTACCCCTAAAAGGAAAATTTTCTAGACAGAATAGCGGGGCATTTTCAGATTTCAAAAAGTGGGTAGGAAGTGAGAGCTTTTGTTTTTAGTAATAGTAATTATCCAGGACAAAAGAGGGGCAAGTTAATTGATTGAGTCAAATCAATAGAAAGCCTAAAATAATAACTTTAAAAGACAGTTTAACATGACAGGGGTAAGTATTCCTGACTTATATTACATTTTACAAGTAAATTTTGTTCTACCTCTATTGATGTACGTTGGAGTATTGATGAACAATGGAGTAAATTACTACTGGGGGTGGGGATTCGGACTTCACGTGGCAAACTCCGTATTTATGAGCCAGATTCTACTATTTGCTAAAGATACCATTAGAAACCCCTTTTATTATTATTTAAATATTTTACATTGGTCGCTTAATAATTATCAGTTTCAGCAAACTATTTTATTGGTTTATTGGTCTTGTCAGTAATTTTAAACATTGTTTTTTAAAATAATTATTCCCTTTGATAAACTAGGATAATGCAATCAGAATTCTGATAACCTTTATCTTCTCATTGCATTATCCAAGGTTATTTTTCACATGATTCCCTTTTCTCTAAACACAAGTTGTTCAATTTATTAATTCGCTTTAGATTCGCTCCTGGGTCATAAATATCACAACCGTACTATCCCCAGCCTGAAACATAACATCCTCACGCAAAATACACAGAAATTATACTGAAAAATGATACACATTATATAATATGTATTATACACAGAATTTTACCTTTGCAACCACTGCATGAAATAAAAAATTGTATCAATTCCAACATAGCCGGTTCACGATTTGTTTTATATTGTTCAATCCAATCATCAACAACTGTTTGTGGAGCTACTCTTCCCGACCGTATAGCTCCATAGAGGGTATGTTCGTCTTCGTCAATTAAGGTTCCAGCACCTACGGAACAGTAGATAAATAATTACATTACAGGTAAAAGGCAAAATACAAATAGAATTCTGGTGTCGACTCTTCAAATATCCAGCGTCTCATAGTAAACCAATTGAGATGGACTCGGTGATATTCGAATGGATGGAAAGTCACTTCCTCAAACATCTTCGGATCAACAATGTTCACTTTGGCTTTTGTACGCTGCTAGTATTTAGCGTTAAAAACTAGTGTTTGCAAACTCATTGTTTGATTGTTTTACTAATGTCTGGAATTTATTCCAATTAAACTGGAATAAGAGAAATGCAGTGGTTTTGATTGTGAAGAACAAAAAAGGTTGAGATGAGAGAAAAGAGTTGGAAGATAGACGTTTATCGCCATAAATCAAGGACAGAGGATGCAGGAACTTTACGGGTTTATTTAAAAACAAAAACTCGACTGAGGGAGCAAACATTTACGTAAATTAAGAGTATCATTTGACTTACCAACATCAAAAGCTGGATGAGTTGGGGGTCTTCCCCGCCGCTTTTTAACTGGAGGTACATAGGGAGCTGAAGGGGCTTGGAAACCAGTAGAAACATGGGGATGTTGATTACCAGAATGGTGAATATCGTTATCTCCGGAAGCACTGTTGTTTAACTGCATGGGTAAGTGATGTCCTGTATACTGAGAATTAGACAATTCAGTTGTGTGGGCTGTCGTCTGTGGATTTTGCATTTGAGATGAATCTCCATGATATGGATATACAGGTTGCTGTAAATGAGATGTATGAGTAAGGACATGTGACTGATCTTGCAAATGATAGGCAGATGTGTTGTAACTATCTTTCGAGATTGGTGGGGAATGATGCGACCCATGATGACCTATAGGAGAATATCGGGGATTTGAAGTGACAGTGGGATTATTGGGTTGCAAAGGATGGGAAATTTGTTGATGGGTAGGTATTTGAACGCGCATTTGATTCATCTGGTTGAGAGGACTTGTATCGTGATTTGAGTGTGGCTTTGTTAGCCGTTCATTGTTGTCATATACTTAAGTGAATAGAAACGAGAGTAAAATGTTTGAAAATATGAGAGATTTACATCACACATGACAAGAGTTATTCAGCATAACTGATCATAATGAACCCTTTATATCAGACCGAAATACAAAGTTACAAATTTTAAATGTGCAAATTAGAAAATCAATAGTATTTAGTGGTATACTAACTTGAAAAAATTAAGCCCTTTTTATCAATTGATGTATGTTAACAATACAGTCATCAATTGTGAACAAGTCAAAACAATGCTTAGCGACTGACAGATGCATTACCTAACTGCACAAACCAAAGTAGGTAGAGCTGATCAAAATTTAGATCCAATTGTAACCGGAAGAACTAAACTACTAGCGAATGATGGGCGTAACGATATGTGAAACAGACGTGAAATTCATCTGTTAGTTTTTTACACTGTAAAATGTAAGTCAATGAGCGAAATGAATTTGAAAATAAACTTGGATGATATGAGCAAATAGTTAACTAATTAGAGGAAAGTGTTGTGGCTCCGTGTTTTGGACTGGGTCATGGGTTCACATCTTGCCCCATCTACCACACCCTACATAATCATGTATCATTTCCAGATATGATATAGTAGGTGGGAATATATAAACCTGAGTTGTGCTTTCCTTAGTACATTTAATAAACAGACTGATATTTATACTTCAGTGATCAAGGCTGAATCATTTGGCGTAAGTAATTATCCACTTTATGTGTATTAACCGAGACTGGTTTAGTGGTTAAAGCATTTAACTGTTATTCCGCCTACTCTGGTTTGGGCAGCTGAATAGTTTCACTAGCCTCCATAAAATGTGGCTTAGAGCTGCGTACAAAAATTCAAACCTGGTAGGCGAGTTATCTCACTATGTCTTAACCCAAAACTGTCCGATGAATTTCCACGAGAAATGTTTTTAGTTTGGTCTGAACTAGATAAGTTTACAAACTCACCAACTGAAGGACGCTACTTATTCCAAACTTTACATTTAACTCTAAAGTTTCTTATTCCACTTTTCATTACAACCAAGAATATATACAGCTTATTTACATAGATCCTTAGCGGTCACATACTGCATTATCTTACCCAAAGTATTGAGCTTTAAATTATTTCGTACTTTTCATTTTCTGAATCCATTTATTCTTCTCGAACGGTATTTTCCAGTATTTCTATTGTCCACGGTACTTTTTTGACTAATAATATTCCTCTTGTTAATTCCAATTCACCGAGCTGCATTAGTAAAGCAACTTGAAAGCATTCATATTTGTCACAAGCTCTATGGTAATTGTGATTGAATGATGATACTATTTCGACTTTTATTAGTATCACCAGTAAAATCAGATGGCAAATAACTAGTTTTCGCATTGAAGATCATGTCAGTGAACCATTTGAGACAAATAGGGCGTTCTAGGTATGCACAAGTAATAACGCGCTGTTCAAAGTAATTAGACTATCCTATGAGTGCCATCAAATGGAAATAACTTTGATAGTGCACCAGTTATGGCATCCATATCACAATAACTCAGTAGTAAGTCAAACGTTGCCCCCAAATGTCCTGGCACGGCCGAGGGTGGAAAGAGTTAGCTTTCCATTTCAAAACGCTCTTACTTGATCACACGTATAAAGTCACTGTCAGAGAAGTTCTACTCACTGAGCTCCAGCGGCATTACTGTTTATGAAATTGAGAGGACGAAAAGCGAATGTCCGACACTTAAGCCGGAGGGAACAAACAGTGTATAAACCTATTTTTGGTCACCGGCTACCTTGGGACTGCATCTCCTTACGTTGTCCAACTGTCTTGTGGATTAAACCTTTAGGTCGAAGGCTCCTGGTGTGGCCCCCTCGGAAAACCATGTGCTTCGGCCTGGACACCCGTGCAATATCACAGCCCTCACACAAATCAATGATATCTAATACTGACCTCATTGTTATTGTGTGGTGCAAATGTATTTGGTGCCTCCTTGTATGTGTTTGCGTTCAAATAACTAAATATGTTCGGTAAAGTGGGGTTGAATATCCTGAGAGACAGCACTTATTGATTAGACAAACAATAGGCACACAATCGTAGAACACTGAAATTGATGTCACAACTTTAACAGTTGTCGACTGGTTGTAACGTCTTTGGATCATATAGACCAGTACATCATTCACAACAATGTTCACATCATGGCCATCAATATCAACATTAATTTGAGTATTTTACGTCTAGCACCATATCGTTTAGCAATGTTTACTAACATTTATGGACAGGTATAAAGAGCAGAAATTTACTTATACTTTATGGTTGTGAAACATGGCTTTTAGTATAGAGGACATTTATAGGTTGCTAGTATTCGGTTAGATGTTTTCGAACTATTCCTCGTGTGCTTTAGAACCATCAATTTCGCTATCCTGAGGTTAGACGCATAGTACTAAATAAGAATTGCATATCGACTGATGGGTTAGTGAATCTTTATTGACTGGGATGGTTAAAACATGTATTGCCCCCTTATAATCTAAGTTTCCAGATTATCTTATAATGTTCTTTATCCCATTAAGCCAAATTTTCCCCAATCGGATCTTCGATGCTTAATCCTCCCTGTAATCACTAAAACTGTTACTATATGTAATTCTATGGGACGCGCTGACATCGTTTTATTGGTGAGAGAACTCACCTGCGCCATTGCAAACGATCTTGAACCATGTAACTTAGTCTCTAACCATCCGTTACGATAATCCCGCGAAACCCAACCAGGTAGTCCTCACCTGTCTATATGGCTCAGTCCAACAGTTGGTGTTTTTATAGATTGATGTTATGTCGTGGTTCGGCCCCCCTTCGCTTTCTTTCAGCCTACCCCTACACTAGCTATTATCCAGCGTCAAGGTAGTCAGTGGATGGGCATACGCAATACATGTTTTAACCATCCCAGTCAATAAAGATTCACTAACCCATCAGTCGATATGCAATTCTTATTTAGTACTATGCGACATGTTTTACGAATGTCGTCCCAGAGACTTCCGCGTCGTGCATTATTTGCCGACCCTGGGACTGGTTGGAAAAAGCGGAGAGGAGGTCAGTGTATGACATGGTGTCGTGGCATGAAAGAGAGCTGCAAAGGGCTAGCTTCCGTTGGTCCTTCACGACTCCCTGGTTGGGGTCCGAGAGATAGTGCAACACAGTGGCTAGAGACGTTATCGGATATGGCTCAGAATAGAAGCCAGTGGCGATCCTGCTGCAACCTTCTTTTACTTTCTACATAAAGAATGGTTCTAACTTTCCTAACTGAAAGAATCTTCTGGTTGTACATTTCAGCCCGCCTTATCTTTTCATCCTTTATCTACCTACTTTCATTATTTTGTGTGGCGCATATGTACCTGGTGCCTTTTTGTACCAATATATATGTGTTTAAATAAAATTAAATAAAAAACTATGCGTCTAACCTCAGGATAGCGAAATTGATGGTTCTAAAGCACACGAGGAATAGTTCGAAAACATCTAACCGAATACTAACAACCTATAAATGTCCTCTATACTAAAAGCCATGTTTCACAACCATAAAGTATAAGTAAATTTCTGGTCTATATGCTCGTCTTTTAGTTGGTTGACGGACATTTCGTCAATGTAAGGTGAAAGAGCCAATCGAGCTTTCTGAATAGATGCCGAGATTTTGTCTGACACCAATTGATTAGGGCGGTCAAGACTTAGGTAGAGTGACTGATACACTTAACTACTTTGCTCTCTATACTTAGTTCAAGCGTTGACGCGGACCAGTCCTGAAGCATTATTTAGCACTTATAATTTCAAATATGCTAGCATAGTTGCTCAAGACGATCAAAAGACCAAATAACTTGAGAATTAACAAAAACAATTTATCAGAAGGGGTTTTGCGGAGATTTTAGTATTTTTCATAGTTGAAAGCGTGAGTCAATTGAAGCTAGACCACCATGGAAACACTGGACGGCCGTTTCGTCCTATTATGGGACTCCTTAGCAGTGGGCATCCACGAACCCGCTCTCGCGAGATTCGAACCCAGAACCTACCAGTCTCGAGCCGGAGCCATTAACCGATAGACCGCTGAGCCATCTAGTGTTTCCAGGTTTTCCATGGTGGTCTAGCTTCAAATGACTCACGCTTTCAACTATGAAAAACAATTTAGTCCCATTTTAATAGTAAACAGGTTTTGTGACGACCAAAGTTTTGAACCAACGATCTAAAACTGAATACGACTGCAACTCAATCTGATCTCAGGATAATTTATCAGTTATGACACTTTGTAATAGCCCCTAAACAAATTCTGTTAGAGAATAAAGCTACATAACTTAGTAGCAGTTACTTTCAATATGCACTGTTACTGGTACTTTCTCATTTTTCCACATTAAATTCGTGAGGTATAATTCTTGATAAACAAGCAGATGAATAATAATTATCTAACATTTAATGGACTTATAAATAAAAACTGATTGTGCATTCAATTTTCTTTTAGACCAAGTTTTTTTTCAAACTATTTAGTGCTTTTTGTATAAGAAAATTGTACTTTCTACACCTAATATTTTTCATTACCACTGTTGTGACTACTATGGTATTCATTCTGATGATTCCACCTCGTTTTGCTGTCATGGTGAGACAACTTAAACCGATGGGGATATACGCCAAATTTCAAGTTGCTTGTGACAGAATTTGTGATGGATTACATATACTGTATTCTATATTTATCATATTAGGCCAGATGGCTCTAGAGATACCCTTATATCACAATGCTAAGAAAAAGCATACACCATAAAGTTGGTAACATTCTGATAGATAAGTGTTTGGTTAGTTTGCATTTTAATAACACAACTAGTTGAAAACCTAACATTAAAGCAAGAGTTGTGTTTTGATTTGAAAGATTTATAGGCTATGTGGATGAAAAGTATTGAACTTGAAGGTTGCCACTTGTAGTAGTACCTGAGGCTTATAATGTCTATTTATATACTTATTTGAACACATATATTGATACAAAGGAGCACCGACTACATGTCACACAAGTCACTTGATTCGTGTGTGGGCTATGATACTGCACGGGTGCCCAGGTCGAAGCACATGGTTTTCTGAGGGAGCCACACTAGGAGCCTTCGACCTAAAGGTCTAATCCACAAAACAGTTGAACAACGTACGGAGGTGCAGTCCCAAAGTAGCCGGTGACCAAAAATAGGTTTATACGCTGTTTGTTCCCTTAGGATACTGGAGTTTATGTACACCACTGGTTTGGAATCAGGATTTTCCAACTCCCCTAGGTGGATTCTTACTATCCATTAACCCCGCTTGAGTGTCGGACATTCGCTTTTCGTCCTCTCAATTTCGTAAACAGTAATGCCGCTGGAGCTTAGTGAGTAGAACTTCCCTGACAGTGACTTTATACGTGTGATCAAGTAAGAGCGTTTTGAAATGGAAAGCTAACTCTCCCCACCCTAGGTCGTACCAGGGCATTTGGGGGGTAGGCTCATAATAACCGTGCAAGGGATGATTGGTAAGAACGATCGGCGACGCAATGAAAAGCAGGATGCCACTGCGAATTCAGCAGTACCATTCACTTTACCATGTTACAGCAACAATACAGTTCCTTATCAATTATAAATGATACCGCATTTAGAGATAATTGGGAATGCGTAAATTCAAAATACATTCGAGACATGCAAATATTAGCACTACGCCGTTTTTGCACTACCTAGGTCGGTTGAGCTTTCTTGGGCAAGTGAACACTAATGCCACGAAACACACTAATTTGTATTTATGTGTCCATTTCTAGAAAGGCCTACTCTACACGTTGAAAACCAGCCAGAATATCTGGTACGCTACAGACAATATGCGGAAATGACTAACATCAACCACGTTAACATGCATTCTTAAATGTAATCAAGCTCACCAATAATGAGCAAGTCACTTTGGACAGATAAAAGTGTAAACAACTTGTCAAATGGAATACACATCGATATTCCGAAACTATACCTTGAGAAGCGAAATGAGCCGATCGCTGATGTTGGATTTGCTGTTGCATCAAAATCTGCTGAACAGATGAAGTCGAATTGACATACGAGTCATGAACATGACCAAAATGATGGCCTTGTGACTGGATGCCAAACTGACTCGGGAGGCGGGTATTAGCACCCTCGTGTTGCAGATGCCCCGAACTAGGATGGGAAGACAGTGAACCGCCAGAGACATGAGGGTGATGGGCATGGTACTAAAAAATACATTTACAACTTTAGTTAATGCGCATGTCAAATGCATTTTGACAACAACTACAGGTTATATGAAATGTACACATATGTGTACACAAGGTCGTACAAGAGTCTATTAGTAGAAGTACATGATAAATATAAGGACTAACAGTAAAAAGACTCTAAATATCGGTTACAGAACAGCTGTCATCTAACAGAAATGCCAAAAAACCATTTAAAATAGAACAACTAACCTGATCCATTTGAAGGTTTACATCCATGGACGCAGCCATATTGTTTGATTTCATCGATCCCTGGTGAATTGTCAATTAAAACAATGGTCCCTGTGCAGATACATTCTGGCGACATTTCGAAGTATTTCGAGTCAGTTGTAGCGCACAGCATAATATTCGTCATTATCAGTTTCGCTACGAGCTCACATATATGTTGTCGAAGTAGTTGGAAGGCAATAGATTCAGATTTGAGTAGTAAGGACAGAAGATCTACGGCCTATGTTATTCCTTTACTGGTATCCTTCTGTGAGTGTACAGTCTTATCTTGAACGAGTCAGTCGAAGGTGTTGACACCACTACTCCGAGTAACAGGTCCAAATAATTAATGACTCAGTGTGAAAACCTGTATGCCACAGGTATTCTGTTCGTTCTTGGCATTTCTACTCGCCTGCTAAGTCCTCTGAGATGTCTTGATGCAGTGGGAAGAAAAGAGAGAATACATCAGGTCCCAAATCATTTCTTAGTATTCTATACATCAAAATCAGATCACCTCTAAATCTGTGGCAGGACAGAGTAAAGAGGTCCAGATTTTCAAGTCGTTCTTTGTATGGTAAGCCCTGGAGCTCTGAAATTGCACGGGTAGTTGCCTTCTGTACTTTTGCAGGATGTCGAAATCACCTTCTGTACTTTTGCAGGATGTCGAAGTCACCTTCTAAACAGGGACGTGCAGTCAAAACGCAGTTCTCAATTTTAGTTCTCACTAAGGTTGTGTATACTGTAGTATCCAACTTGATGAATGTCCATCTTAAAGCCTATATGGTTCTAAACCCCTTAGCTGCAACTTACTGGCAGTAGGCTGTAGTCTTAAGGCCATGACTCACTGTCATCCCAAGATCCTTGTGAGACCGGACCACGAGTACAAGCACTTCCTCTATGCTGTACCTATATGTCTTTGTATCCCCAAGGTGCATGTAGATACATTTTGCTGCTTTGATAGACATCAACACTCTTTGAACCAGTTAATCACAATATTTCAGTCTGTCTGAAGAGCGCATGCATCTACGTCTCCAGTTGTTACTCATCAGATCGTTACATCGTCAATGTATAATAATATTGGGGGACTGAACTATGCTTGGGAGATCAGTTACATGCAGTATAAAATGTAAAGGACCTAGGACAGATCTTCCAGTGCTCCACTAAGTACAAATATCCAAGTAGAGCACTTTGAATTTACTCTTACTTCCTGTCTACGACGCACCAGAAAATTCTCAATTAATTTTAAGGGAGGTTAGGGAAATGCCAAGATATTTTAGCCTTAATAGCAGTCTATTTGTTGGCACTTCGTCAAATGCCTTGCTGAAGTCTATGTAGATAACACCCACTGATTTTCCGTTGTCTATCATCTTTTTCCGAAATTCCCCTGCTATAAAGAGGTTTTTCGTACAAAATAAACCCTTTTTTATAACCATGTTGTTCGCTGTTTACCAAGTTGTTGGTTTCCATAAATGTCATTATGGTCTTTTTTAGTCTGGTTCTTTGTCAAGAAGAGGTTCCTGGGTGAAAACTGCCCTAAAATAGTTAGCCATAGTCTCTACCTTTTCCTGATCGTCCTCTATCATTTCAGATTCACTCCCTTTTTAATTGGGTTGCGAAGCCAATGATGCACTCTTGTACTGTAGTTTGTGCACGAGAATATTCTCTTAGGCTGCTTGAGTGCAGATTGTGCGAAATGCACCTCATATTTTCTCTGAGCTTCCCGAATTTTAATCAAACACTTTTTTTATCGATCTGTATTGTTCCTTCGACCTGCTGTGCCAAGGCTGACAGCAACATTCCGACATTTCTACTTTTTTTCTCGGTAAACATTGAATATCCCGGCCTATTCAGGGATGGCCGTGCTTCTTCTTCTTCGGAACTGTCCAGGGTATGTATGGTTGAGGTACTTGTTTGTATAACTGCCTGAAATGAGTCCACACCTCTTGTACTTATGCCCTTGAGACAATTTCCCAGTTTTCTGCCGATGCTGCCGAGTTGATTGCCCCTATATCTGCCTCCCATATATTAGAACGGGCAGTCACAACTGTTTGACAGGCAATCTCAGCCATGAATTTAAATAATATGATTGCATGATCACTTCTCCATAGTGGTGGGAGGAAATTCATTTGACCAAAGTCATCACCGTGTGTGAAGACTAAATGCAAAATAGAAGAAGAGTTTCTTCAGTCATATCTTGTGGGATTTCTAATGTGTCGGAATAGAGCTAACCTAGTTGAGGTTTCCAAAAGTTTTAAATTGAATGACGTTATCGACCACCCTACTTCTAAGTTTACTCAGTTTATATACGGTGCATTATAGTGGCCTTCTACAAGGACTTCACTCTTATTACATTAGGACTTAAGTTTGCTTGGAAGGAAATCATCTACTACACACTCTGCACTGTGATACACTACAACTAACTCAGTATCTTGCCATCTACATTTCAGCTTGCAACGTACCAGTTCACATATCCCTGAATACAATGCCACTGTCTTAACTACTCGTATGGTTAGGGTACTTTTCGTGTACAGAATGACCCCGCCTCCCCTACGGTTTAATCTATCAACCCTATTGGATAAAAAACCAGTCAACTGAATTTTGTTGCCGAACACTTTTGAAGTTAACCATGTCTCTGAGACAGCAAAAACATCCAGTTTTTCTATATCTACCATTGTTTTGAACCAAGCTATTTTATTTAGTAGGCTGCTAGCATTTATGTAACGTAATTTTGACTCTGTGGAGAACTTTCCCTTACCACACAAAGTAGTTTGGGTATCGTTTCGCTCCAAACTTTTACAATTTGTACACCTCTGAGAACGAGGTTTCTTTCACCTTTTCGGCGGCGATCGTTTATCTCTACTTATGCAGCTCGTCTCTTAATACGATCAGCTAGGCTGAGATCCTCACGGACGTATATTCCGGACCCATTCAGTTTACGTGAGTTACATTGAATAAGGTTCCTTTCTTCAACCGTGGCAAATGTAACATTCAAGAGGCAGCTTTTCTGAGGTTTTTCAGAATCCACCTTTTGTTTTATTCTATAAAGCTTACTGATGCTAACTCCTGAAACTGTTTCCGGGGAAAGCTTGCTTATTGAGGACTTAATATGACTGAGGTCATGCTGAAATCCAGCCTTTGGTTCCTTTTCGGAAGATTCTTTTGATTTATGAAAAACGACAGACCTATCAGCAGGATTCTTCTTAACAGGCTGTGGAGTTTTAATTCCTGAAACCGTCTATTCCTTGCACTCTGATTTCAATTCAGCTCCAAACGTAGAGGTTACGTTCTGTTTTCTTACTATTCTTTTCCTAGGCGTGACTGCGAGCCACTCGTTTACCTTATTTTGTCTCTTGATCACTCTCTCCACACTGCTCAGACTTGGCTCCCCTATGGTTTGTAACACATTGATATGTGGATCTGGAACTAAAACAGCAGATTCACATACCACAGTACTGTCTATAGGTAATTTATTCTCAACGCGCTTCTTCGCTTTCCTTCCAACAACACTTACATCTATATGTTTATGTTTTCACCTGATGAGGTCTACCTTTATGGTTTCACTCTAGTCTTCAGCTTGGCTTATAATAGCACTCTCAATTTCCTTGAAACCAAAGTTCTGATCATCTGCTGCTGCCTCTTTATCAGAGGGCGATTTCCTAGTTATCTTTAGCATCTCGATAGCCTCTAGAATCAGCAGAGACCTGGTAGAACAACAGTCTTTACACGTCCAATGTTATAATGACTTACAGCACTGTTTATTATTACGACTCCTTATGTCTAGTGGAATGTCACGAACCAACGATATTGATGCGAAATTATTCATGAAAAATACTACTTTAGATCATGTTAAAAAAAGCTAAATTGGTTCCACTTCCTACCGAGTAATCCTATTACAAGCAAACTAGACAATTGGATAAAAACGAAGCCCACTCTATACCCTATAAAATCTAAAAACAAAAAAGAGAGTTCAAACAGTTTCGAAAAAAAGGGAGACAGCCATTTGTATCGGAATACTGTTTTCAGCACTTTATTTTATAATTACACAATTCCATACTTCCTTCTGAACTACCTTCATTTGTACAGTACCTTATCCACTCATACCTTGCCCACATTTATTTTTCTTTAACACATTAGTATGTTATTACCTAATAAATACTTCAGTAACAGACAAATAGACTAAATGGTTATACATTAACTATTCCTCCATGAATATTGTGTGCTCTGCTTTTCGTCCTTCCTTTTTCTTGCACCTTTTTCAGCCTCCTGCAGATACTCCACCGAAAACAGATATGGCACGGGTGACTTCGTCCTACACCGTTATTAAAGCCTCAGATATTCCGAAGGGATATAAGTGCGAAACTTCTAAAAGCCATCAACTTCGTATGTATCTATTCTCGACCATCAGTTGGATGTTGCAACGCTACCTCCATAAAGTGCGCCAAGTGTGATATTGGTATGTTTCTTACGAAATCTATTTACATTCATATCTTATGAAATATCAACCCAGCTGAGTAATTTTCAACAGTGAAAATTGTAACTTCTTTAACAATTTGATCTTGCCTGTAAACCGGCATGCCTCATGTAACAATCTGTTATTTGAGAATAAATTATTATTATTATCATCATTATATGCAACTGGTGTGAGTCAGGTGCCCACATTGTGATACTACTTATTGCAGGCATCATATTGCAACCGCTAACCGACCGGAAAATAGCATATTGGTCTACCACAACGATGTTTCAATCGCGTCACAGATTTATTTTACGTTTTTATGTAAATAAAATAAAGAAACAATAAACAAATCCGACTTCCGTAGTTGCAGAAAGATCTTAACACCTATGGATACAAACAATGCTCAGAGATATATTCAATGACCGAAAATATGTACAATTGCCTTTTTGTTTTATGTATCTGTACTTTTAAAGTACAGATGATAAACTTCTCCGGAGAAAAAGCGATACTTTTGTGAATTACTTTAACTGAAAAAATTCAATTTAAACCAAAACAGTAGTCTTGATTCGTAACTTAACGATCAATACTATAAAATT